TTGCTAGAGTTATGTGTTTGTGAAAACATAACACTCTTGTTTGTAAAAACAGTCTTTGTTTATGTCCTTGTATCAGGTCTATGCCATCCGTACATTGTGCAAGGAAGGTGGGGTCGACTCACATGGTTCCAAAATGGAACTAGTTCTTAGACTATGGGAAGAGATGAAAACCAGAAGTAAATATGACTTTAGTAAATATAAGTAAATATATCTTTCAAAAGGTCTGGGAAGCCTCAGGTAATACAGCGATTTTCACAGAAATGTTCATTATTGTTTCATTTGTACATATTTAATGTTCTGTTTACAGATGTTCCCCATTTCCCAAAAAAAGTTGGAACACTGTGCAGAATGTAAATTAAAATAAATTGCAATGATATGTAAACCATATTTTTAAAGGAAAGTACTACAAAGACAACATATCAAATGTTGAAACTGAGAAATTTTATTGGTTTTTGAAAAATATATGCCTATTTTGAATTTGATGCCAACAACACATTTCCAAAAAAGTTGGGATGGGGGCCTGTTTACCACTGTGTTTCATCACCTCTTCTTTTAACAACACTATGTAAGCGTTTGGGAACTGAGGAGACACTGCTGTACTTTTGAAAGTGAAATGTTTTCCTGATCTTGTTTGATATAGGATTTCAGCTGCTCAACAGTTCAGGGTCTCCTTTGTCGTATTTTTAATTTTATAACATTTCCACTTCCCCTCAGTCCATTTTAAATGAGCTTGGGCCCAGAGAAGGTGGCAGCGTTTCTGGATCCTGTTTATATATGATTTCTTCTTTGAGTTTTAGAGTTTTAATTTGCATTTGTGAATGGAACAACAAACTGTTTTCACAGACAGTGGTTTTCAGAAGTGTTCCTGAGCCCATGCAGTGATTTCCACTAGAGAATGATGCCTGTTTTAATGCAGTGCCGCCTGAGGGCCCAAAGATCACGGCCAGCCAGTATTGATTTTTGGCCTTGTCTCTTGCATACAGAGATTTCTCCAGATACTAAAAGAATCTTTTAATGATATCATATATCGTAGATTATGAAATCCTCAACTTCTTTGCTATTTTGAGAAACGTTATTCTTTTAGCATTACACAAATTTACTAGCCTTTTTAGGAACATGTTGTTAGAATCAAATTCAGAATGGGCATATATTTTTCAAAAACCAATAATATTTCTCAGTTTCAACATTCAATGTGTTGTCTTTGTACTATTTTCAATGAAATATAGGGTTTAAATGATTTGCTCATCAATACATTTTGTTTTGTTTACATTTTGCACAGCGTGCAAAATTCACATCAGGAGGTATTTGTATTTTTTATTAAATATATTTTAAGTTTTATTAAATAGTTATAGAATGTAATTCATTTTGTGTCAACTTATTGGCTTTGAGATTTGATCTCCACTTTCGAAATGTGACAAATTCTGGATGTTAGTTGTATTAGAACTTGATTCTTTATGTTCTGCAGCTTTCTCAGTCTTTTTAGAATCTTCTACAGCTCTGAACATCATCCTGGACTCATCTAACATCTCTACATTTTTATTTACCTTCCTACTGATTATCTGAAATTTTAAGTTGTTCATTTCACACATTCATCTCCAACCAAGTCAGCTTTCTATTATAAAAACACTTTTTTCTATTAACTTTTTTCTATTTTTCTACTTTTTTCTATTAAAAAAAGAACTTCTGAATGTACAGCTAATCCAACTTGTTCATTTAAAGTGTGCTTAATAAATACATTTGGCCACAGAGAGCAGAAACAGCAGAAACAGAGTGAGAAGACAAAACCAGTGTTTTTTCCTCCTCCTGCCTGCTGAAGGCCGAGCAGATGATCTGGCTTCCACGGCAACAGATCCCATCAATAAATCATCTGTCAAACTCCTTGAAATTTGGCCTTCAAAAATCAACAATACACTCTTGCACTTCTCGACACAACAGCCTCCACTGAAAGACTGGACTTTTAGATAAAGTTTCTTTTGAACTTTTCTGAAAAACCTGAATGCGCAAACAGCACTGAGCTGAAATCACTTCTTATTCAGCACTCAGGAAAATAAGATTTCAAGTCCTATGAAAGGACCTGAAACCTTTACACTTACTGTGCAACACAAAACGCCCAAATAGATGTTTATTTTGAAATGCACAAGGCACATTAAATAGCAGATTAGAGATGAAATTTCCTCAAACTTCATTAGGACCAGTTCTGGCTCTGTGTGGTTTTGGAGCCCCCTGGTGGTCACTTACTGTAAGAGACTTGTTTTCTAATGCTGACTATTTAGTGCCTGACTTTATCTCTTTAATAAAAGCTTCAGCAGTGTTGAATATGTTTAACTGCTAAGTGAGGTTCTAGCATCTTCTTGTTTTTGTCATATTGAGCATACATGCATTACAGCAATGATGACTGTTGTAACTAATAATACAAGAATGCACCTGTCCTTAATTAGAAAGCGAATACATTTACATTTCAATGGAACCAGAAAAAAAAAAAAAACACTAGATTAAAACACTTATTCGTAATTCACACAGTCCATCTGGAACCAGAAACTGTCACCAACACTTTACTGAAGACAAAACGTAAGTCAAAAATGCAGGAAGCGAAACCTGCAGGCCTGTCAGGGCATCTGGAGGGAAAGTACCATCGTCTGGAGATATCTGCAGGGCAATCACTTCAGAAAGTTAAAGACTGCAACGGATTTGCAGCCAAGCATTAACAAAGTTAAAATAAGTGCTAAAATGTCGAGGGTGGGGGACAATATAAAGGTTTATGTAAATTTATATGTGTCCAACTAAAATGACTACTGAATTGGAGGGGAGCACATATAAAACAGCTATGAAACTTTATATAAATTTGGGTCCCACTTTACATTGTCGCTAATAACTGTTACATGTGAACAACATATGCAACAACAATGTAACTACTAATGATTTAGTCACTGTTGCAGGTGAATTACAGAAGGACACCTTATGTTATTACAGGTTTTTCAACTTCAGTTTTGCCTCACGTAATTACACAAGGGTAATAATATAAATGTAATTGCATTGTAATCAGACTGGAACAGCAGTAGTTTTTTTTTCAGCAGTAAAAGGAAATTTGTAATAACTTACATTAAGACACTACTTACACTGTATCTGCCAGCTTTTCTAACATTTAGCTAGCATTCATGTTGCTAGTGCTGTGACACTGTAACCAGTTTCAGCTTTAAACCATTCGATAATGTGACAGTACAGCAAGTGTCCCCTTATCTTAAAATGTAACTTTAATGAAATGAATTAAATGTGTTGCATTACCACCAAAGCAATGTCTATATTACCACTCGATTATTACACAGTACCTACATAACTAGACAGGAACTGTCCACTTATTTTAAAGCGTAACGTTAACACTACACTACAGGAAAGTTCCTGTGTAGAAGACACACTTGTGTAATTACACAAGGCAAAACTGAAGTTGATACACTAGTAATTACATAGGCTGTACTTCTGTAACACTGATTAAATCATCAGTAGTTACAGTTTTGTTGCATGTTATTCATGTGTAACTACACAGTTATTAAAGACACTTTAGATAAAGCATAACCTAAATTTGTCCAATTACTTATGATCTGCCTAAATGGAGAGGGCATATATTATATATAAAACAACAATGCAGACTCATTAATTTGTCCAATTACTCAAGGGCCACCAAATTGGAGGAGAAATATATAAAATGGCCAGCAATTTTAATTTTGTTAATTTGTCCAGCTACTTGTGGATCACTAAACTGGAGGAGAATATATCTTACTTACTTATGGGCCAATGAATTAGAAGGGGGTATATGCAAGATGACCATACAACTTGAACGATGTAATTTGTCCAATTACTTATGGACCACCAAATTTGAGGGTGTAGGTCTACATAGGCCTTTTTTAATTGGCCATGCAACTTTGTTAATATGTTAAATTACTGACACACACACACACATTTATACACCGGTCAGGCATAACATTATGACCACCTCCTCGTTTTTACGCTCATTGTCCATTTTATCAGCTCCACTTACTATATAGGTGCACTTTGTAGTTCTACAGTTACAGACTGTAGTCCATCTGTTTCTCTGATACTTTGTTAGCCCCCTTTTACCCTTTACTTCAGTGGTCAGGACCCCCATGGACCCTCACAGAGCAGGTACTATTTGGGTGGTGGATCATTCTCAGCACTGCAGTAACGCTGACATGGTGTTGGTGTGTTAGTGTGTGTTGTGCTGGTCTGAGTGGATCAGACAGCAGCGCTGCTGGAGTTTTTAAACACTGTGTCCACTCACTGTCCACTTCTATTAGACGCACCTGCATTGTTGGTCCACCCTGTAGATGTAAAGTCAGAGACGATGGCTCATCTCTTGCTGTACAGTATGAGCTAATCATGATCTAGTCCTTCGTCAGTGGTCACAGGACGCTGTTGACTCGATATTTTTGGTTGGTGGACTATTCTCAGTCCAGCAGTGACACTGAGGTGTTTAAAAGCTCCAGCAGCACTGCTGTGTCTGATCCACTCAGACCAGCGCAACGTCAGTGTTACAGTGCTGAGAATGATCCACCACCCAAATTGTACCTGCTCTGTGAGGGTCCATGGGGGTCTTGACCACTGAAGAACAGGGTAAAAGGGGGCTAACAAAGTATCAGAGAAACAGATGGACTACAGTCTGTAACTGTAGAACTACAAAGTGCACCTATATAGTAAGTGGAGCTGATAAAATGAACAGTGAGCGTAGAAACAAGGAGGTGGTCATAATGTTATGCCTGATCAGTGTACATACATGTATATGCATACACTCTCTCACAGAGACACACACCTAAAGGAAGGGGCGCATAAACAAAACAGCCATGCAACTTTGACCATTGACCTCAAAAATACAGCATATGGGCCCTTTAAAGTCCCGTAGGACACTCAATACTGCTAACAAAGCCAGACTGATGACACGCTGTTTTATTCTTATTTTCTGCAGATTGCAAAACCATTTGAAAGCGAGGCAATTTTTAATAATGCTTTAATTAAAGTCGTACAAAGAGAAAAAAAAATAAATCCATGGATGTGAAGATACTAACAAGATGTAATATCGGTATTCCAAACACACAGCCTACCAACACACGGTAGTGAATTATGATAAAACAATAAGAATTTAGGACACAGTTTCCTCAGAGTTGCATCAGACACCAGCTCCAGCCCATGGTTTATTATAACAATCATAAAAACAAAGCCAAGTGTACAGTCATCTTTTAGGATTTACTCTATTAAAAAAAAAAAAAATCTAGCATTTTCGCAAATACCTGATAGCTGAAATAATAGTAAAAGGCACAAACAAAATAAAACTGAAAAAAAATCAAGCAGATGATACTAAAATCTCAACCAAAAAAAAAACCCAACAAGCTGTTCCATCGTCTACTTGACCACAATCTGCATATAAATACATTTATAAATGGACTCGAGTCGCCAAAACTGGTGAATAAAAGTATGAAGAAATGAAAGTAATAGAGATACAAGCAGTTCGTTTTAAAAAGAAAAGAAAAAAAGGGAAAAAATTTCAGACGTGACGGAACAGCACACGGTAACCTTCTACAGCGGACAGTGGAAAGAAAAAAGGAACACTTCTTTTCATAAGAGCACAGTGTGGTGCAGTTTCATCCCCGATGCGTGATGGTGCCTGAGCTTTCAGGAATAAATACAAAAAACAAAACATTAAAACGTAAGTTTGACATCACTAAAAGCATCGAAAGGGTTTGTCTTGAGTACTTAAAAGACGTGGTTGAGCAGTGACTCCACACGCACACAAAGACACGCCAGGTTAAAGCTGATGGGACTAAAGCATGCTATGGTAACCACACGTCACACAGACAGTGCAAACCTTTAACCAGCCGGAAAATACTGTATTAGACACAAAAACTCGAGCTAGCATCTGAAAACGAAGATCTAGTCTTCTAATTGGTTTATTGGAAGGAAAAAGATTGAAACCGTTTGCTGCGAACACTGCAAACAAAGATCGCACTAAATTTGATGCCTGCGGTCATTTTAGTGTTTTGTTTAAATCCAAATGAGGGCATAACGGCTGGAGATGGTAATGGCTTTGCAGAAAAAACAGGGAATTCAAAGACAAACTATGCGGTCAGCTAAATCCACGTCCAGGATTAGCGTAAAATGGGAACCCAAGTCTATTCGGAACTACGTTACAGCCAACGACAGCACACGGTAATCTAAAAGTACACGCCAGGGAGGAGGAAGAGGAGGGCTTCACAGCTAGTTCGAGGCACTACAAATCTGCTCAAGACAGCCTCTACTTACACTTTTGTTCATTTTGGGCATTCAGATTTCACCATTATGAAGAACAAAGGACTTCTGTCCAAAAGACAAACCAAAAAGAAAAAAAGGAAATCAAAAATTTAAAAACGGGCCGTCTTTGGAGATCCACTGAAATGCGAATGACGTACAAACGGGGCTTCAACACAGCTCAAGTATCACCCAACCGTACGGGGGATGTCTCTCCTCATCCCTAAACCACTTGCATCTCCTGAAGGTTAAACAGTCCCAGGTCTCGAGTCTTGCGCGTACGTCTGACAGTCTGTTTCATCTCCACTCGCTTTACCACTCTGCGTCTCCGATGGCTTTGGAGAAGACGTAATCGCGTCCGTTCAGGTTCATGATGCCGTCTTTCAGGTGGAATTTCCATTTGTTCTTACTTCTGTGAATCTGGAAAAAGAAAAATGAAAAATTTTACCATCGCAGGGCTGAAAGATTCATTGTTTTTATATCCAAATTCACAATTTTAAAGAACGCAATTTTCAAATCAAGCTGCGATTTTTATTACATATTTCTATATGATAATACATCAAGTATATTTTAGCTTCAAATTAAAAAAATAAATTAGACTAATAACACAGAGCATGTCAACTGCCTGTAGAGGTGCTTGACCAATCAGAAGCAACAGAACACCACGTTCTGCATGTGTGACATCACAACCATCACAACTGTTAGTCTGACACACTGTTCAAGCTTCATGCCAGAAAAAGTGGATATTCTGCTATTTTTAGAAATAAAAAAAAAAAAATATTAACAAAAAAAAAAGGCCTGGAAATTAATTTTTAAATCGCAATATTGGTCAAAAAATTGCAATTGGGGATTTTCCAATAATGTTTTATGTTCAGGACCCCACAGAGCAGGTACTATTTGGGTGGTGGATCATTCTCAGCACTGCAGTAACACTGACGTGGTGGTGGTGTGTTAGTGTGTGTTGTGCTAGTCTGAGTGGATCAGACACAGCAGTGCTGCTGGAGTTTTTAAACACCTCAGTGTCACTACTGGACTGAGAATAGTCCACCAACCAAAAATATCCAGCCAACAGTGTCCTGTGGGCAGCGTCCTGTGACCACTGATGAAGGACTGGAGGATGACCAACACAAACTGTGCAGCAGCAGATGAGCTATCGTCTCTGACTTTACATCTACAAGGTGGACCGACAAGGTAGGAGTGTCTAATGGAGTGGACAGTGAGTGGACACAGTGTTTAAAAACTCCAGCAGCACTGCTGTGTCTCATCCACTCGCATCAGAGCAACACACACTGACACACCACCCCAATAATACCTGCTCTGTGAGGGTCCATGGGGGTCCTGACCACTGAAGAACAGGATAAAGTATGCAGAGAAACAGATGGACTACAGTCTGTAACTGTAGAACTACAAGTGTGTTCCTATATGATCAGTAAAGCTGATAAAGGGAACAGTGAGTGTAGAAACAAGGAGGTGGTTTTAATGTTATGGCTGATCAGTGTATATTCTTCATTTTAAGAACACTGCCAGGTTGCGTTCCTCTTTCCCATCCTGTAGCTGAGCCCCTTATTCATGCATTTATTACTTCCTCTCCTGACTACTGCAATGCTGTTCTTTATGAGCTTCCTGTCTGTGGTCTGAAGAAGCTGCAGTAAGTCCAGAACTCAGCTGCTAGGGCTCTTAAACACACCAGACCATGAAAACGTAACTCCCACTCAAATGTTTACACTGGCTCCCTGTCCATATACACTATAAAATACTTCCCTTGGTTTTTAATGTCGTGATATAGTCTGGCACCTCCTCTCCTTTCTGCTCTTGTTCATACATATTCACCTTCACGCTCTCTCTAGTCATCTGACACCCACCTGTCCCACCCTGCACTTTAGACAACAGGGCTTTTAGTAGGGATGGACCGATATGGGAATTCTGTTTCGATCCCGATATCCAAGATTTTCCAACACAAACGACAAGCTATATTACTAGAACAGCCTTCCTGCATCTCTGCAATATTGCAGATTTAAGAAATACACTGTCTCTACAAGATGCAGAGAAAGCTAGTTCATGCATTTATTACCCCGAGGCCAGATTACTGTAATGCCCTGCTGTCTAGATGTTCCAGCAAAAGCCTTAACAAGCTTCAGTTAGTCCAGAGCGCTGCAGCCAGAGTCCTCACAAGAACCAGAATGTTTGACCATATCAGCCCAGTTTTATCAAACCCACATTGGTTGCCAGTCGACAGGAGCAACAGCAAAAGTTTCCGGATGCCCTTGTCTCAACAGCTGCCGACGAGAGAAAATGATACGCATGAAGTCTCAGGTTTCATTACAGCAGAAAAAGCTGCCGTTGTAGAACAATCCTGAAACTCAAGCTTTCACACTGATTCACATGGTTTCAGCCCGGTCTCCCCGGCACAGCAGGCAGTTCTGAAACTTAAGCCCTAGACAACGCAGTCAAGAACAGCTACATTAAAAACATAGAAGGGAGAGAATTAGAGTGATTAATGTATTAAATCAAATAATTTGGTTTGATGTGATTCAGTCTCAAAAAGCTCCTCTAAAAGCTCCCACACAGAAAGTTATTACATGAAATGGTTATTAATACACTGCCTGATGTCAGACAATGTTTTACTACAGTTTTGTGATATTCATTCATGGTGGAGGGATACATGCAGGGTGTTCCAAGGCAAAGTAATTCCAAAGAAAATTGATTTTTTTCAAATTTTCCACTATTTCATCAATATTCCATAGAAAAGCTCAGACACATGTAGGTTCACTGGTGTTTTTTGAAATAAATAAATAAATAAATAAATAGTTTATATTTGTGTTGTAGACATGGTGACCCCTGGTTCCCATCACCACCACTGTAAAGAAATCTGCGACAGTAACTTTCTCTACCAACTGTCACACCAAACCACTCAATGAATTTGTTTACATGGCACAAACAGAATTATGCAAAAATTGAGCTAACAAGCTAGTTAAAAGCTCTTACACTTACTAGACCTCAAGCTCTAGATGTCATTCACTCAATACAAGCTATAGTCTACACAGGTTTGGGTTAGTTGTTAGGAATAGAAAACAATGGCGGCAGCTCTATGCAGGACTCTTTACCGAGTCACTGTAAAACTTATACATATAACCTTAGATGTCATGTGAATCATAAATAATGTCTCTTACAAGCTGCAAATCTGTATTTAAGCTACAACAGCCAAAAAATTTCACTTGGCGCCAACATACTACTAAAATATCACAGGGCCGCTAGTAGAAATTATCATACAGGTGTTTTCTCGTATTTGACCAAGTTTTGACATTTATGGCCTAAACTGAAGGTCCAGCTCTAATAGTTATGGTTCTCCACTTCAATATGCTAATCACATGATATGTAAACATATAATATACATAACCAGCTAATAATTACAATACAATAATTACAAATTAAAAGTAAAACTCAGGCGATTCAGATCGGACTGATGAAGTTAACGCATCCTCACCTTGTCGTACTGACACACCACCACATTCTCAGTATCAAACAGCTCCTGGTCCTCCTCATCGCTTACATCATCTCCACTGTTTAGCGGTTCCTGTAGTGACAAAGGTGATTTACATTTAACACAGATTCTTATAAAAGCAGTGCGTCCCAATCCCAGTCTGTGCTCTGCTCATTCTGTGCCCTCTCTGCACTCAATTTAATTCAGTCGATAATTACTAGGTGGCAAAAGTAACCAAATGACACTAAAAAAGGGCCAAGAAAAGGGAAAAAATTTAAAGCTGAGACATCAAAAGTTCTTCTTTATATCCCAGATGTGGAGCTCTAGTGCAAAGTGCACAAGTGAGGCAAAAACAAGGCAGCAAACATTTCAGTCAGCAGACTTTTCTCAGTGCTACATAAACAGAATCAGGGTAAATAAGATCTCCAGTCACATCTGCACCCAATCACACAGGTGCTGCGTGTCCTACCAACCAATGACTGCCCCTCTTTCTTATGGTACCTCATCAATGATGGACCCTTAGAATTAAGCCAATAACCAGCAAATTTACTTTAAGGCTCTGTTTGGTGTGTATGAGTCATTCCATTACATTGTGCCCTATGTAGTTATTTTTTTATTTGACCTACACACCAAAGTTCAAACATCTTTACAGGAGTAATTGCATTTTAGGCAGTTTAAAGATCTGCAGACATTCTGGCTAAGCCTGGGCCCCCACCTAACAATTATTTGCCCCATTTTAAGCTTGATTTGCCTGTTGTGACAATCTGAGGTGATTGTCCAGGTCGGGAGCTCCATAGGAAGAGACTGATCACACAGATGATCTGGTACTGCGAGAGGAGAAACGCCCTCAGATCGAGCTCTGAAGTGATCAGAGACCCTCCAATATCAAACATGTTTGATATTTACAAATCAAAATGTTTACAAGTCCAGTAGCGTGAGAAGATCAGAAATTTACTCAACAAGTGATTCAAAGAGCCAATCAGAGAGCTAGAAGCATGCAGAGAAAGGAGAAGAGAACAGCGGAGAGGAGACAGAAGAGCTGCATGTGAAACGAGCAGAAAAAGGCTGTTATGTTTTTAATGTTTGATCCAAACGTCAGGTCACTCTTTACAATTTCAGCTCAGCTCCCTGCTTGTAGTGAAATATTTTTCCAGCTCTCACTGTGATTTCAGCGCTTCACCACATAATCCCCTATTTGTTCTTTCACTGAGCAGAAAAGCACAAACAGGTCCAGTAAGTTTATCTTTGTGTTATCTTTGGGTTGAGTTCTTATTCGTAGCCCAAACTTGTTTGTGTGTTTTACTCTCTCTTTGCCCTGTCGTCTACTGAGCGTCCTCACGACAAAAAGACATGAAATTCTGTGACAAACTGGTAAATTTATGATGCTCTCTGTTTTAGAAATCTTAAGATTTAAGAAGTTGTGGAGTGTATGCCCAGCCTAATTTTGACACTGGAGTATCTGTTGAGTTATTGACCAGATACTTAGTTAACTGTGAAGAAAACGTAAAAATTAGTGATGAAAAGGTGATCATGCATCACAGTTATGTATAAAACTCAGCATCACAAAGGAATTTAGCAGCACACACACACAGAGACACACACACACACACACACACACACACACACACACAGCGCGCGCGCGTATCAAAACTTTTCTTACAGGACAACAGCCAATGGAAGGCCTTTGGTCACTGCTGCTAGGTTTTCATGCCTGATCAGTGTGACTAACAGATGCTGCCCCTTCAGATGAGCTAAAGCTAAGCTTCTGCCCAACTATCTCTGACTTCTCAATCGTGTTCTTGACAGCGTGCTCAGGTTAAGGAACATATTTCGTTGCAGCAAACTTTGCGTCCACCTCTAAAAGCTCCCTCACAAAAAGTCATTACATGAAATGATTGTGAATATGCTGCCATAAGAATACGTTTTATGATCGTTTTGAGAAGATTTCAGAGGTGAGAGGTACATGCAAGCAGCTGTGCGGCAAAGAAAAACTTTTCATATTTTCCACTATTTTACCATCCTCAACATTCCATATAAAACTCAGAAGACACGTGTAGGTTCACTGGTGGTTTTGAATAGTAAACAAAATGGCTATACTTGTGTTAGTCATGGTGACCCCTGGTTCCCATCACCACCACTGTAAAGAGTCTCTACAAATCAACCATTTCACACCAAACCACTCTGAAAGACTGTTTACAGTGCAGAAATTTTGAAAAGACAGTGGCATTTCCCCTTTTTCAGCATTTGACGGTTTGTCTGTATATTATCTCCTTGACTTTCCATGATACACCACAAGGAAAATCCAAACAGCAGTTTCAGTATACACACCTCCTCCACCTGGCCATCCTCCCCACCATCTTTATCCTTGTCTTCATCTTCGTCCTCATCGTACTCATCCTCCTCCTCTTCATCCTCCTCGGAGGACGTGTCTCCGGCGCCATCCACCTGCAGCATCATGGGGGGCTGCTGCTGGGCAGCCTGCTGTGCCTGCGTTTGCGGCTGTGGTGCTGGCTGCTGCTGCTCAGGCTGCGCTTGGGACGACGGCTGAGGCTGGCCTTGGGCCTGGACCTGCGCAGCTCCCTGACCCGCCTGAGTAGCCATGGCTGCCTGCATGACCTGAAACAAATATAGTTAAATATATTGTAAATGTTGCTAAGTATTTTTTTTATTTATTATTATTTATAGAGCACATTTAAAAAAAGTTGACCAGAATAAACAGTAAACAGTGTAAAAACAGTAAAAACTAAACCACTGTCAGGGGGTCTTAAGGTATCAAAGCTAAAGAGCCCATGTCATGTCTCCACCTATTCAGCCTACAGATGTTTAAACCTGCTCACTCACAATGAAATTAGAAGCAGTGGGTTTTTTTTTCCACCCCAAGGGCTTTTTAATTGAGAATACAGGGCACCCAATCAGAACAGAGCTCGCTTATACACAGTCTTAAAGTAACTAACAAAACCAGCCTGTTTATTTTTAAGAGATAGAGAAGTTGGAAAATGGTAATGTAGAAATTAATTGACAAAATTTGCTACATAACACTACACAAATGGTGGACTTCTGAACGTAATACTTTAAGGCCTTAACACCACTTCAAATGGAATGTAAGACAAAATGCCATTTTGCCTCGTCTTCACTCAAAAATCTTCAAAATGTACAACCGCCAACACAGTATCGTCATAGAGAACACATGTACATGCAAGCATAATTATCTTTTACATGTAGTTTTCCTTTTTTCTTAAACCACTGTAAGTGATTTTTTTGTATCTGCAATTCTGCTGACTACTTCGTTGTCTTTTAAAACCTGGAGTAATACCAGATCTGGTCCCATCAGTCTGCAGCTTTATGACTAATCACCACCAGAAAGTGAGCTACCAGAATAATTTTCCTGACTGACAATATCAGATCTGTAGAGTTGTTCAAGGAACTTTATTAGGTCCCACGTGATTTTTGTGCTAAAGTTGAGTGTTAGCAAGATGAAAATGAAACAAATGTTTGAAATATGACAAAATATGGCTTAAAAAAAAAAAATCACTCATCAGACCAATATTAGAACTGGATGGGCGTGGCCTAATTATACAAGCAAACTTGTTAAATGTTGGCAAAATTCCAGCAATAGATGGAGGTGGAAATGTGAGATGCTCACCTGAGCATTCTGCTGCACTTTGCCCCCTGCGAGGACGATCTGCTGGGGCTGGATGATCACCCCTGTCTGCTGAGGGAGGGCGCCCTGCAGAGGAGCCAGGACCTAAAACACACATTGGCACAAAGCAAAGTGTCCTCACAGTGTTCTCCGTCAGCTATATTAACAGTTAGCTTAGAAATAAAACCCCTCCTTGCAGAAATTACCTTAAAGAAATAAAGCCTTTATTCCAAACAGCCATTGGTTATCACTGGTTAATCTATTCACTTCTGTCCAATCACAAGGTGGTTTCTGTTTCTCTATATTCATTATATTAATATTATATATTAACATCATATTCTGTTAAGTTTGCTTGTGTTATTGTTTGCTATCCGGTGTCGACCAGAGGAGGATGGGTTTGTCTTTTGAGTCATGGTTCCTCTCAAGGTTTCTTCCTCCTTGCCACTGCTGCTCTTTAAACTTTTCCTGAAGTTCTTCACACTCACCCACACCCCTCATTTAGAATTTTTCTACTGTTTAAAGATCCTGGCATAGAAGGGAACCAAAAAGTGGGTATTTCTTTTAATTCAACTTCTGTTTTTAAGAATGGATGCAAAACAATGTCAAAATGGTGCCATCTTATTTAAATAAGTGTGAGTTGAAAGTATTCAAAAGTATCTGGAATCTGGAGTATAGAGTTGTAGATGCACTGAAATTAAAACATTTGGTTTTCAGACAAAAGAGAACAGTTATAAGTGTCAAAGTCTAAGACTTCACAAATAATTTGAATGATTATGAAAGTGTGATTAAAACAGCCATTCTCTGTAGTCAAGAACACTGAATTCCGTAGCACATACTGTACAGAATGTTGCTAATAATTTTGGTAGGTTTATTTTATGCAGACTTTTTGCCAGTTTTGGTTTTCGGCCAAGTGCATTTTTTTGGCTGAATTTTTACTTTGGTGTGATACTAAACTGTTCACCACCAACATTATAGTAAACTAAAACCATCAAAAAACTAGTAGCAAAAAAAAATAAACTGCAGTTCTCAAAAACATCAAAAACAGCTAAACGTTCACTGCAAACCTAAGTAAAAACAGAACTGCTGTGTAAAAGCCTTTAGTTTCAAGTTTTTCAGTGGTTAAATGAGAGTTTAGATGTGGAATTCTTTGTTGGTCTTTAAGAAAAGCTGGAGCCATGCTAAGCTCCGTCTGCTCTGTTAACTTGAACACAACACACTTAAATTCCTGCTATCACAACGTTCATCATAACGGTAAAAACTAAAACTGAAACAATCAAAACGTCAAAACTATTACTTTTCAGAAAATAAAACAACTGATAATACACCCTGAAAACTAACAAACTAAACTGAAATCAAAACCAAAACAAAAAAAACTGAAGAAAAACTAATACATTTCAAAACTAACAACGCTGTTTGCCACTTCTTAGTATTGAATTTCTATATAATTTGCAACACTATTTTCTTGTGTTTAAAGAGCAAGGTTATGGAGTGATGACCACTGTATTCAGAGTGTTTCTGATGCTTCTCCAGTAGATCCGTGTGGAGTGCGGCAGTGTGTGTGAGAGTTTACAGCTGTACCATGAAAACAAGTTAATCTCCTTCAGCAGTTGTCGCCAACTGTGCGTTTTATTGCTAATGACTCTGAAATTACGCTTTGGTCATTTTATTAAGCGCTTTACTGCCATAAATTGTACGACCAGCTGGGAAACGACCACTTCAGCTCCAGACTATGATGTATGCTGTTCTAGTTATTTGATTAGACATAAAGTATAAACACTGAAAATTGCTATAGCGCTGTAGCACATGAAGGGAAAGACCTGACCTTCACACGGCACCATATGCTAGATCAGGTGTTCTGCTTTATGAGAAGAATGAGCATAAAATTAATTTATGCTGTATACAGATTAAATTGATTTTGCTCTCCCTGAACTATAAAAAAGCCGTAGTGCTGTAGGTCTTGGCCTAAATGCATGCAGTAAGGAAAAATTCTGGTTTTCGCGAAACAGAGATTATAGATACACATTTTGTGGCGCAGGTAATAAATAAAACTGCTATATGTGTGTTGGAGTCATGGCGACTCCCGGTTCCCATCACCACCACTGTAAAGAAATCTCAGTCAATCATGCTCTTGGCAGCGTTCTCACATTAAGGCACTCATATTGCATTATAGAAAGTATGTAATATGCCAACTTAATTGCCAATTGCAAGCAAATCCATCAGCTCTGTTAAAACTTGAAAGGGAATCCTACCAACATTTCAAAATTTCTGCATAATTAAACAGTTAAGATGTAAACAGGGTCAGAGTGGTTTGGTGTGAAATGCTCAAAATTGTTCCCAGTGGTGTTGATAGGAACCAGACGTCCACCTCCAAAAGCTCCCTCACAAAGATATCACCTGAAATGTTATGAATTCACTGCCTGATGTCTGAGACACTGTTTTATGATAGTTTTGAGAAGATTTTGACCTTAAAATCCGTTCACGGTGGAGGGACACAAGACGCAGGGCGTTGTGATGCAAAATAGTCTCCAAAGAAAACTAAGTTTTCCACTATTTTCCCATCAACATTCCACATAAAACTCACGTGTAGGTTCACTGGTGGTTTTGGACAGTAAATAAAATGTCTGTGTGTTGTAGTCATGTCAAACCTTGGTTCCTATCACCACCACTGTAAAGAAATCTGAACCATTTCACACTAAACTAGGGATGCACCGATACAATATTAGGATCGGATATCGGTCCCGATATTAACAAAATTAGCTGGATTGGGTATCGGACAATTAGGCCGATCCATGGGACCGATCCTTTCACTTTAATTTGTTTGCGATGCGTGCTACGCCATACGTCAGAAGCATGTGTGCAGCGTGCCGGTAGACTTGACCTACAAACAGGAACAACATGAAGCGAGCCAAAGAGTCAGCTGTGTGGAGGTATTTCACGCTTGCTACGCCAACAAGTTCGGCGGCGACGTGCAATATCTGCAAAACAAATGTTGCAAGGGGTAGTGGTAGCGCTGCAAAATACAATGCAACGAATTTAATTAAGCACCTCCAAAAGTACCACGGTAAAGAGCACGCCGAGTTCACAACGTTACAGTCAAATAAACAAAAAGAAGCAGGAGACGATATGACAAAACAGTTAACTTTGGCGGACGCACTGCAAAGACGTGAAAAATTCCCAACCGACAGCGTGAAGGCGACAAAAATAACAGCGAAAGTTCTGGAATTCATCGTTTTGGATGCGTAACCCATGTCGGTGGTCGAAGATGAAGGCTTTCGTCGCCTGCTTGAACACCTGGAACCAAGGTATAATTTACCGTCACGAAAATATTTTTCCGAGACCGCTCTGCCAGAACTGTACAAGAAAGCGTGTGGACACATCAGAACAGTTAAAAGATGTCAAAGTAATGAGCTTCACAACAGATATCTGGAGCTCAAACGTGTGCCCTATGTCACTTTTAAGCTTAACTGTCCACTGATTAGACACAAGTTTCACGCCTCACAGTGCGATGCTCCAAGCAAAAAACTTTAATGGATCACACACACACCAGCGACTCGATTTCGACTGCCATCAGGGAAATGATTGATCAGTGGCATATTCCCTTGAACAAAGTGCACGTCATTCTGAGGGACAATGCTAGCAAACATGAATAAGGCGATGGACAACATGGGAGTGCGTAGCTTAGGCTGCTTTGCTCATACATTGCAGCTCGTAATTAACGAGGGACTACTGTCACAACGGAGTGCGAGTGATGCCATTGCAAGCAGCAGGCAGATTGTGGGACATTTTAAACATTCTCCACTCGCACATTCACGGCTACATGATATCCAGCTCCAGATGCAAATGCAACCTAAACGCCTGCAACAAGACATCAAGACAAGATGGAATAGCACCTACTTTATGATAGAGAGTCTTCTGGAACAGAAGCGAGTCCTTTGTGCTTACGCTGCTGACCGTGACCTGCCCTACGACACTGACTGCTAACCAGTGGGCCTTGCTAGAAAAAACTAACACTGTTCTAGCACCATTTTGAAGAGCTAACTAGGAAAGTAAGCTCATCCACCTCCTCCACCGCTGATGTCATTCCAGCTGTCACTGCCCTCAAATGCATCCTGGCTAAGGAAGACGAGGCAGATACCGGCATTAAAACAATGAAAAAGACCCTGCTGCAAGCTGTCAACAAACGCTTCGGCACTGTGGAAGATGAACCTGCCTACGCTCTTGCTACCTTGCTGGAACCGAGATATTAAGACAGGTAAGATTCTAAACTTATTACATTATAGAATCTTTCTCTTTCTACAGCACCACTAAGAGTACCTTGCAAATTTCAATGCAATAAGATGCCATAATGTGCATTAAAAGTTTGTATTAGAAAATATTAAATTATATATCCTTTTTATACATACTTCATGTCTATATTACTTTGATCAGCCTTAGGTTTTATTGTTACATCCAAGAATTTAGTGTCACAATGAGGTGTGCATTTTAACCAGTGTTTTATATATTTAACTAATGTTTTATTTCAGTGTCAGATATTTTACAAGTGCAGAGTCTGCAAAGTGTGCAAAAGATGCACTAACAAAGGAACTTGAGGAAGAAGTCTTGAGGAGCAGCACAGCTGGAGCATTGGAGACTTCAGAGCCACCAGAAAAGTCCCCTCAGGTGGAAGCAGCAGCAGCACCAGACAAGAGCAGCTTTATGAAAGAATTGGACCAAATTCTGGAGGAGTGTGAGGATCCTGGTGCAGCAAGCAGCTCAAGCCCTGCTGTTGATCTTCATAGATTTTTTACTGAGAAAACAATCACTGCCTCAGACAGTCCATACCAGTACTGGAGAGTCAAAGATCCGTTACCTTGTCTTGCTGCCACTGCCACAAAATATCCCTGTGCCCCCTGCACTAGTGCAGAAAGTGAGAGACTGTTCAGCACAGTTTCCAACATTGTGGATGAGAAAAGAAACAGACTTACAGCAGAGAGAGCAGAAATGCTTGTTTTCATGAGAAAGAACATGCCATTGCTGCTTAAGTGATCATTCAGGGCAACCACAGGCTGCGAGTGGTGTGAGACCGCACTAAGTGTTTACATGTTCACAATGTTTGATTACTGCTTGTTTGTTTGACGAAGTAACTTATTTATTCTGAAGTTTAGCTGCTAGATTTTATTTTGAATTACTGTTTACACTAAATATTTAAAAATAAGATGGATTACTGTCTGTGTGTTTGACAAAGTGAAGCTACTTATTTTCAGTTTTGGCTGATATATTTTATTTATTTCAATATATTTTAAGAAGTTTGACTCCTTTTTTATTTTGAATTTGAATGCTGTGTCAAGGTCCTGCACAATTGTTTTTTATTTTAGTGACAAATAAATAGCAATTTAGTACATTTATATCTATGTGTTAATTTGTTATATTTTGTTTTACAAAGTTAGTAAAGTAATGTTTAAGTTAATCCTTATGCCTTAAGTCTCTCCCACATGGTGAGGTATACGGTTTATTAATTCAACAATGGTATCAGATATCAAACGATATGTAAAGTTTATGTATCGGTATCGGAACTGCAAAAGTTGGATCGGTGCATCCCTACACTAAACCACTCTGAATCACTTTACAATTTACATCTCAAACACACAATTATGCATAGATGTTGGAAAAAATGTAATACTGGAATTCCCCTTTAATGCATTTGTTCTTCCGGTAATCATACGGCAGCTCAGTAAGTTCAGCAAATTTGTGGTTGTCATCTTTAATCTGCCCACAAAACTGTAATTAATCTAGTAAGAGGCATTTAAAACAGATGTTTCTACAACAATCTCACCTGTTACACATAATAAATGTGGTATTAATGCAGGACATCACCCAACATGTTTAAATGTTGTGTTCATGTGTGTAAATTCTAGTGTCTTGCTGTGTTTTGAACAAAATAAAATCAAATGAACAAATATGTAAAGGAGTTTTTACTGTCACTGGGGGCTGTTACCATGGTAACTCAAATAGGCACAGGGTCAATAAATGCCATGGTTTTGTTGTACCTGCTGAATGACTGGGGCCTGAACTCCACCCGGCTGCATCTGGGGCAGGACCTGCTGCTGGACCATAATGGGCTGTTGAGGCTGGATGAGGTACTGAGCTCCATTAGCGGCCCTCACCACCTGCAGGATCTGACCTGAACACCAAACACAAACACATCACTTAATCCACCGTAATCTGCAGCTCAACAATCCAATTACTCCGATGGAGACGCTAATCACGAAGACCTCTGTCCAGTCAGACCTACTGAAAACGACTCGAGATTCAGAATGGTTGAAAAAAAATGAGAATGACCTCCATCAGTGCAAATCCAGTTAGAATTATGTAATACTATAGTACTACCACAGTATAGTACCATTTCAGATACAAGCACATGGTTCTTACCCTGACTGGTGATGATCTGCTGGTAGGGTCCAACACCAGCCACTCCTGTAGGCAATGCCAGGGTCGCCGCTGAGGCAGCTGCACTCTATTAATACAATAACACACTTCATAAATTAAGGCCAGACAACATCAGTTACACTCACAAATGCAGAAAGCAGAATTTGCTTAGTCCCATCATATGAAATCCACTAAATGAGCTACTGAGGCTACAAGCTACTGATAGTTTCTAACTAGAGCTGTTCCAATTAAGGATTTTCATTGATGCATCAAAAGGCCCAACTTTCATGTAAAAGTACACTAACAGACAAATACAACACTATAATAAATCTTTATCGTTATCACAAACATTATTAAGAGCTGCGATGAGAGATCAAATTAGCAGCGCCAGAGAGATGTCATTACGTTATCAACACACCGTTAAAAGCCTAATGAGTGATTCTCTGCTCTGGGACTGAATGCTGCTCTCCCACAAGTGACTTAACCATTAGGCTAAACATCCATTTACAAAAGACAAAGCAGCTTAATCTCTCCATCCTGAAATTCATGCCTGTATTTATACGAGTAGACTGCAAAATGAACTTGAGCTTGATGTTAATCTTAATGCAACACATACTATGTTGCGTAGCTGTGCTTCAAACTGTATCTACGTGACGCAGCTGGTGTGCAGGTGGCCTTCAGTCCTCCAAGGACACTCTGAAACGGACAGGGCAGCTCTAACACTCACAAAGGCTCCAAGGCTATACACAGCAGGTAAAAGTGGCCCAGACCTGATGTTTTTCTTCATATGCAGCACAGCTGTGTACTGTGCACAAGTGTGAACAGCAAAACACACTCAACCTGATCTTGAATTCTGATTTGGTTCACTTTCATATATGGTACTGAAATCCAATACGTATCCGCTATGCGACTCAGTCTGAACAGCCAGATTGGAATTCATATGACTTTTACATGAATCCAACTTTAAGTTCGTCATGATTTCGTGCTGCTGAGACCTCAAATATTCGGGCTGATGTTTCTGCACAAAAAATTAGAAGACGCTTAACGAAAATGCTTCGTGTTAGAAGAGATTCCGTAAGAACACTGCCAGAGCAAAGCAAGAGGAGAACGAGGCTGCAGTGCCAAAGAAAAGTTAAACATCTGAAAGCAAAGTTTAAAGAAACCGAAAACACAAACCAAAGTGGTCCTGGCTGAATAATGTGCCCTTTTCACAGTGAGCTTGAACACATTCTGGGTGATGAGCCCAGCTGTGAGCCATCAGAAACTTATTAGCTCTCGTGATGCTGGTGAAGATGATACTTTCGACTTCATTGTTTACCTCTGAATGAGGGCACCATGTGAAGCATTTTTGAGCATGCAGGTCAGTTTAGGAGCGTGATCTGTTCAGGCTAATATCGGATACAGATCACGTTAAGAAGATATTGTGAACAGGCCAACAAAAGAAAAAAAAATCTCATTTGAAGAGAAAACAGATTGGAGACATTTCTTTGGGGTGTGAACGCCGCCTAAGTGATTCCTGCACAAAACACTGCTGAACTCACTCCTGTTTTACAATAACCAGAGTATGGAAGCTGACGTGCTGCTGATGCACTCACCATGCCAGTAGCAGTCATGTGCTGCAGGATTTTGGGATCCTGTACAATCACCTGCTGCTGTGGAGCTGAAAGGAGAACAGCAGAAAGCACAAAAAAAGGAAGTCTGATAAGTTCAGGCAAATTTGATAGTGAAACAAAATCACTTTAACCAAGTGCTCGAAAAAACAGGGATGTTCTTACGGTTTTAAAATACACTGAACAAAAGTAAACACTTTTCTAAAACCACACAAAGAACAAGGTGGGTCGTGAAACAGAACACACATTAGTATCTGGTGTGACCATTTTCCTGTAGCAGTGACACATCTAAGAAAAAAATATCTTCAAATAATTACTGGATTATTTATTTACTTATTTTTTAAATCAAGCTGCAAAATGGGAGCAAAACCTGATGTGCTGCATTTATATTTGGGACCAGTATATATTATACGCTTGCAGATAATCAAAGAAATTCAGCAGAGTAGTTAAAAATCTTCCTCATTACTATAATTAATCTTAAAAACAAACAATTTTCATAATGCTCTTAACAGCTACGCATCACTAATTTTCCCTCGAAGGAATCCCCGCTGTGTATTAGCTCAAGTTTTAGGAGAGTCTCGAGTAGTGCAGGATCAAGTCAACACACACCCAAAAATGGCAGATAAATCTGTTTAAGCCATAGCAATGCAAACTCAAACTCCTGAACTTCAGAGTTTCACAAAGTAGAAATGGCTGAGCCAGTCGCAAATCCGGCAGAGCGCATGAGTAGGGGTGGATAATATGAACTCAAATATATCACTATTTCATATAATTCACACAATAAGATATGAAAAAAGTAAATGAATAACAGTAATTTACGACTAATAATATTAAAATAACAGATACCATTTTCTCTTCTTATTATTAAACACTTTTTATAAGCCCTCTGTGTAAAAATGACAAGGCTCATTCTTACCTTACAGAAAAAGGCCAGATATTTACAGCTACTGTAATACCTATTTTTACTTTTATAGCTAGACACCTTCCACCTCTAACGACTGCTGCATCACCACTAGAACGTGAACTCTGATACATGGATTCAGCAAAACTAACTGACCAACAAACATGTAAATGCAAGCATGTAAATAACATTAAGCATCAGATGCAGGCAGACCACATCAGTCAGCAAACACCTGAGTGCACCGTGAGTGCGTGTGGTCCTGACCTTGCTGGGCTGGAGGCAGAAGGACCTGCTGTGGCTGGCTGGGCTGCTGAGTCTGCTGAACCTGCTGGACCTGCTGCTGCACCTGGAGAGCTCCCTGCTCCTCCGTGTGGAAGCCGTCCACGGCCTTCGACTGCACCAGCTTACTCTCCCACAGCTGCAGCACACCAGAGAAGATTTAACATCGATTACGCAGGTCACATAACTCCTAACAGGCTTCTAGTGTTTTCCCTAGACATGGCATCAGTTGTTGATGGCTCACTGCCTTTTCTTTGTCTTTTTTCCCCCCACTTAAGTCACAATAAATGCAATTCAAACACTGTAGAGAAAGCAATTATTATAATTATGTGGTCAGTAGCAGGAAGAACTACTTCCAAGTTAGGGCTTTTGGAGTCACACTACCCACCAGAGTGTCATTTATACTTTCCAATTAAATATTACATGCAATTGCTTGGTTTAAATTATTTTTGCACTACAACAAATAGGAATAAATATAACCACAATAACTAACACTAATCATCAAAATGAAGCGGAATCAATAAGACAAACTAATCATTAAGATCTCTTGACCCCAGTAGCCCTTTGTAATCTTTATAAGATTCATATTTTTGTGCTATAAAGATATTTGACTGTTTACTTTCTCTGTGTGCAGGTTTACGCATCCTGATATAGTTTAGTTTTACAGTAATTAGAAATTGTTGAATGTCCTATTACACTGAAAGTCTGCCACTTTCAATTTGAAGTTTAAACTTAACCCACAGATTGAAGAGTCTATTAATCACTCTAATAACCCACCGCAGGACAGCGAGTAACACAGAAAGCTGCTTCAAACAAGAATCTCTCATCGCTCCTCAAAGTATGGCTAAAGACTACCGTATTAAAAGGGAATTCCACTGATTTTAGTAAATGTTTGCATGGCATAATTAAGTGGTTAAGACGTAAACAAAATCATTCAGAGCGTTTTGGTGTGAAATGCAGTCAGAACTGCTCAGTGGTGGTTATAGGAACCAGACGTCCACCTCTAAAAGCTCCCTCACAGAAAGTTACTATATGAAATGGTTATGAATTCACTGCCTGATGTCTGAGACACTGTTTTATGAAAGTTTTGAGAAGATTTTGACCTTAAAATTTATTCATGGTGGAGGGATACATAATATGCAGGGCGCTGTGAAGCAAAATAGTCCCCAAAGAAAACATATTATTTCAGATTTTCCACTATTTTCCATCATCAACATTCCATATGGAACTCAGAAGACTCGTGTAAGTTCACTGGTGGTTTTGGATAGTAAATAAAATGTCTATATTTGTGTTGTAGTCATGGTGACCCCTGGTTCCTATCACCACCACTGTGAAGAAATCTGAACTATTTCACACCAAAACACTCTGAATCACTGTTTACATCTCATCACTGAACTATGCAGTAATTTGAGAAATCAGTGGAATTCCTTTTAGTTAACCTCCAAGCTTCTCCTACTGTAGCCTATTGTTATTAGGCTGGTCAACATTAAGCAGTATTTTGTATCTAAGTGTGAAGCAAGTTCCAGCTCACGTTTTGTTTGGGAAGAAGTTCCCAAAGATGTATCAATCAGGAATTTGTCCCATTTTGGCCCTAGCTGTGCCCTAGTTAAAGAGGCAGCAGTAACGTTTGGCTCCCAGCAGGTAACAAAAAGAGGAGAAATATAAACAGGAGGGCTGCGCAAAAGCAAACAAACAAACACTACAAACTGAACTGCAGAAAAGAACTGTTACTGATCAGCAGCAGACACTGAAATTACTGACTGGACCATACAGTAATTTATATGGCAGGCAGCTTCTAAATCTAGAATAAGCAAAAAACGTTTTACAAACTATCAGGTGATGCTTCAGAACACTAGGATTAGATCTAGAATCAGGATTACGCTCTGACTACAGATTGACATTAGACTTAAGTACTATTCAGACAGGTTTCATGGGGAAGTAGCGTAATGCAATTACTCAGTCATGTCAGGACTGGCTTCTTCCATGTCAATAAAAATTCAGATGGCATTTACCTGCCATAAAACAAACTACAGATAAAACCCCAGGTTATATTAAAATTGCAGAAATAATCCTGGGTGATGTTAATCCCATGATAAAACAAACTGTAGAATTACTCCAGATTATGTTAATCCTGCGACAGAAACAAACGGCAGAAACAATCTCAGGTTATATTAATCCTGTGCTATAAAAATAAAACATACAAATCTCACAAGGTTATATTAATCCCAAGACATAATGGGTTATGCTAACCCTGCTATAGAAACAAATCATAGAAATAATCCTAGATTATAATCCCATGCTATAAAACAAGCCATAGAATGACCCCCAAATTATGTTAATCCTGCAATAGACAAAAAATATAGAAATAATCCTAGGTAATATTAATCATGTGCTATAACTTCGAAATGTCCCCAGGTTATATTAATCCCATGCTATAAAACAAGGCATAGAATGATGGCCAAGTTATGCTAATTCTGTGACACAAACACATCATAGAAATAATCCCATGTTATAATCCCATGCTACAAAACAAGACAAAGAATAACCCCCAAATTATGTTAATCCTGCAATAGAAAAAAAAAAATGTAGAAATAATCCCAGGTAATATTAACCCTGTGCTATAACTCAAACCTTCAAAATAACCCCAGGTTATATTAATCCCATGCAATAAAACAAGCCATAGAACGATGGCCAGTTTGTGTTAATTCTGCGATAAAAAGAAATCAGAAATAATCCCAGGTTATATTAATCCTGTGCTATCTTTCAAACCTTCGAAATAACCAAAGGTTATATTAGCCTCATGCTACAAAACAAGCCATAGAATGACGGGCGAGGTTCTGCTAACCCTGCGATACAAACAAGTTATAGAAATAATCCCAGGTTGTATTAATCCTGTGCTATAATTCTAACCTTCAAAATAACCAGAGATTATATTGATCTCATGCTAAAAAACAAGCCATAGAATGACAGCCAGGTCATGCTAATCCTGCGATACAAACAAGTCATAGAAATAATCCCAGGTTATATTACTCCCTGGCTATAACACCAATAGAAGAAATGATCCCAAATCACATTAATCCTGTGCTATAAAACGAGCTGTATAAATAACCCCAGGTAATATTAAACCTTAAGTCTTAACTATGTAGATGGTTGGGGTGAACTTACTGACTGAATTTAATGTTCAGATCCTATTTTCTGCTTGTGAGCAGCTGAACACACTGCTTAAGCACACTCTGCTACCCATCTGTAATTCACATCTGGATTTCTCACACTGTGTAAATCAGTCATATACATTACAGATGTCAGTAAGTTACATTTACCTCACTATGGAAAACAGAACATCTAAAACATGTACTAGATAGTAGATATTAAGATGAATGATGTAAGCCTGAGTCATGAACAGGGATTGAGTGGACAATATAAAGTGTCACCAGCTCATTTACCGTTTTGAGCTCCATGAGAACCTGCTCGTCCACGCCTTCATCCAGGAAGAGCTCTCGCACTTCATTGATCACATCTTCCATCACACTTCTATAGAGTTTAGGCTGGAAGAAGAAGCAAGAACAGATGAACGCACCACTGGAGCGGCCTGCTTTCAACAGATCAGATTTAACTGACAAAATATAATAAAAATAAAATACAGCAATACAAAGATGGCTCTTTAGTAAAGGGAATGGTTCTTGACTTCTGTATAGAACTATTTCATGCTTAAATAGTTCTTTGCATGGCAAAATGGTTCTTCAAACTGATGGATAATGTGCTGTATATGGTTCTATACAGAACCTTTTTGTATATGGTTTTACATAGCACCAAAAAAGTTTTTTTTTTCTTGACATCATAACAGAACCCTTTTTGGTACCATATATAACCATTTTCAAAAAGGCATCAACACATTCATCAATCTGAAAAACCATTTCACTATGCAGAGAATCATTTAAGCACTCAGACAGTTCTAAATAGAACCACTCCCTGTACTAAAGAACCCTTGAACCACCTTTAAGAGTGCAAAACCCTTTTTGGTGCTATACAGAACCATTCTCCATCTGAGGAACCATTTTACCATATAAAAAACATTTAAGCATGCAAATGGTTCTAAACAGAACGATTTACTAAAGAACCATCTTGTTAAAGAGTATATTAAGCATTAGAAGAAACGTGAGGGCTTTACAAGTAAAAATAAGGCAAAATAAGAGAAAAATAAGACAGGGAAGTGACAAAGGAGTGCAACGAGGCACTGTTTTCGCCGTGTCCAGTCCCCGGTGTCCAGTCTCCCTCTCCCCCTCCCTCCTCCTGCTATTTAAAGCTCCGGTGGTGACGTGGCGCGGAGCTGCGCCTTCCCATCCCGGCCTGGGTGGATATTAGGGCGGCTGCGGGGCCGTATATAACCGGGCTGCTCGGGGAGGAGGGTCAGAGGAGCGGAGGAGCGAACTCCAGCACGGACGGCTTCTGTCCGTCTGCTTTGCTTTCCCTATTTAGTGCCTTCTTTGGGTTGAGAACTGGGTGGAGGGGGGGTTAATGTATTAATGTAATGTATAAATGTGCAAAAGCAATGCCACAATAAATATATAAAAACATCCGTAAATCCATGTTATTGCGTCCATAACAAACAGCTCTAGAGGAAGCTGGAAGCTGAGAATCCACGCCGACAGACAGCCAATGCATACGACTACAGCGCTAATAACAATAGTAGTAATAATAATAATGGTAACACTAATAGTGATAATAATATAGTAATAATGCTGCTACTGCGTCAAATAGAGGCCTGGACACTTTTATTAGAGGGAAGGCCGAGCTTGGGTTACGTTGGTTTCCTATTCGCCAGCTTCTTGTTCGACTTTTCCCGTTCCACCTTAAATGGTGCGGCAGTTACATTCGAGTGCCTGAGGCGCCCGACTGTAACTGCTACACCATTTAAGGTGGAATGAAGAAATTCGAACAAGAAGCTGGCGAATAAACAAGCTGCTTTTTGACCGTTTTCCGGGCACTTTTCTTGCCCCCCAGGACCCTTCCCGTTCCCTCCCGCTCCCGGTTCTGCTCCTTACCACCGGGTTAGAGTTAGCCGAGCTCGCCATTACCGCGGGCGGAGCGCCAGACACGCCGAGCGCGCGCCCCGCTGCAGCTCTGATTAAACCCTCAAACCCCGAGCGGCCGCGCGCATACAGGTGTGTAGGTGAGGCCGCGCGCTGTCCGGTGGTGTGTGAACACGGTAGTATTAGGATTGTGTGAGGAGCTGATGGTGAGATTGCTGATGTTGTTGCTATGCGGGTCCGGGCCCTGTCCCCCGCCGTCCCGCCGCCGATCGCCCTGCTCCTTTATACACATACACCGACCTGCTGCGCATGCGCCGGCTAGAGAGTGCGGCCGCGTCACGGTATCGCGAGAAAAGAAGACACAAGAACCCGGATGGTGAAATGCGGCTAGGGGGAAAAAAACAGAGATCAAATAGATCATCACACATAACAACAAAGTAAAAAAGAATAAAATATAAAATGATGGAAGATCATATAAGCAATAAGAATGTGGTGAAATAATTACACATTAAGAAAGTCATAATAATAATAACAATAGAAAAAGTGAAACTAACAGTAAAATATTGAAATGTAAAAAAAGCATAAAATGACAAGAGCACAAAATCAAGTTAAAAGTCTTTAAAATATAAAATAACACAAGAACTTATAAACAATATATAAACAAAAATGAGCGATAATAATAAAGAAAAAACGAATAGTAAAGAGAAATAAAGTTGTGCTAACTGTAATAATGGTTGTAAAAATATAATATTAAAAATGGAGGAGGATTGTCTGCTTGCTAAATCATTTTCTGTTTTCTTTCTTTAATTTCCTTGCTTTCTTGTGCTTAAAAAACACACGTTTTTAGACCCCTAAGCAGGCCAGCAGAGACAAACTGTCCATGCTGTGCGATGATGCTAACCCAATTCTTTAAAAAAAACAATACAGCAGTGCATATTAATGAGTAAATACGAGTCCTAACGGCACTTCACCACATGAGGGCAGCACACAGCACATTAACAACGAGGTCAGCAGTGACCCCTACAGGCCCTTTACACACAAACACAGAATCTGACCTAGTAATCAGAGCTGAGACAGAGCCGATCTCTGAGAATAATAGAGCTGATCTCAGTTAACAGAGCTGATCACAGAGTAACAGAGCTGATCTCAGTTAACAGAGCTCGTCTCAGAATAACAGAGCCGATCACAGTTAACAGAGCTGATCACAGAGTAACAGAGCTGATCTCAGAATAACAGAGCTGATCTCAGTATAACAGAGCTGATCTCAGAATAACAGAGCTGATCTCAGTATAACAGATCTGATCTCAGTTAACAGAGCTGGTCTCAGAATAACATAGAGATGGACGTCTGGTTCCTATCACCACCACTGTGAATCTGTTTACTGTTTACATCTCAACCATTTAATTATGTAGAAATTTTGAAAAATTGGTGGATTTCCCCTTATAACTCCAATAAAAATAATAATAATAATAATAATAATTTATCACATCGAAATTTCCATGGATCTGACTGTATTTCCTCTGCTCACTCAGAGTGTCAGGAGTACTTAAAGCCTGAAATTGAACGTTCAGGCCAGACTTACTAACAATGCATTAAATGGAGACACAGCAGGAGCGCATTGAACTGACTTAAACGGTCACTGTTTGGACTGTTTGGCAAAAATAAACTACACAATTAAACTCATATGAAGCCCGCAAACATCTTGCGTGTCCTTTCTATAGTTGCGTAGCAACAGAGTGGCTCCAGTTGTGCAGACGCTGAGAGAGGGGGCTCATCATTAGGGCTGCATGTTTTCAATTATGAATGACCCTCTGCTGCCACACGCCACTGCAGCCACGTCAGTCTAAGGAAACCTGAATTTCTTACGCTGAGGCATATTTCTGTTTTGAAATCAGTCCTCTCATTTCATGATCTGCCTTTATAACGGCTCACTGTCCCGTCTGCAACTTGTCCAAAATGCTGCCACTAGACTAGTGTCACCTGTCATAGCTTCTCTACTTCCACAGAAAACAGTATATTTGGGATGTGACTGGTCCTCATTCCTCTGGTAGGTCCCTCCCATCCACCGATAAATCACTGATCACTCTCCCACGCTCTTGATTAAAACATAAGCGCGTTTTCAGTGGCTGCCCCCAATTTGGGGAATAGTTTACCTCTTAATATGAGATCTGCATCAACCAATGGCGAGTTTAAATCTTGCCTGTCCATATGGAAAAAAACAATATATGGACATATATTTATATATATTTGAAATACATTTTAAATACATTGCAGTCCATGCTCAAATACATTCCTAACACTAAAATGTATTTCAGAATTTTTTGCCAAGTTATTGATTTTAAAATGTATGGGGAAATATTACACATAGAAATGTACTATACAAAAATAAATGTATGAAAATGTGTTTATCAAATCCACCTGAAAATGTATGAAAATGTCCAAAATCCTGTCTAATGCACTTCACTGTTTGAACTGCACCTTTTGACCTGACCTTTTGAAATGAATTTGTATTCCAGTATTTTAATTTAAATATTAGCAAATGAACCTTTAACATGACAAAAGTAGGTGTTGTAGGTATTGATACTCTGTGAAAATGCAGTTATGATTTGATATCATGTTTATTTGAAATACATTGTGTGAGAGTGTCTTACTGCATACATACATGGTTAATGTAAAGTACAATGCAGATCACATAAGTCAGTACTGTTTAGTTACATCCGTAACCTTCATTACAACTACATACAACTGAACATATATAATAACAAATACAAATAAATGCATTTTAAATATATGTTTAACAAATATATTTTTTGGCCACATTTGGAATTAATATTTTTCCAGATGGCTTAGGAGTATCTCCTTGCCTTGACTTACAACTGTGTCTAAATTGCCAGCTGTGCTGGCTGCTAACTTACTCTCTATGGCAACAAAATGACAAAATGCACTGTTCTAGTTTGGTGATGTGCTCTTCTGCACATTAACTGAGATCTTACTCATCTCCTCTTCTGTCTTCAGTGTGAGAAATGAGAAACAGTCATTCTTTACACCAAACTCTTGGGAAACTGGGCGAGTTTCAGATTTACAAATAGGCTGCAGCTCATTGTAAGGTTTTTCAGAGGAATCTGGGCAGATTTACAGTTTCTAGACTATAAAGGACAAACTGTGTGAACCAGTCTGCTACAGCGCCACCCTGAGGCAGAGCAGTGCTGCAGCTCTAGGTAGTTAGAAAACACCAAGGAGAGAAGATGATTGAGGGTGAAGCAGATAAACAATGAGCTTCACTGAATCTGTATTTTCTTTTACTAATGAAGAGCTTTATGTCAAAAGTTTCAGGAAACCCATCAGAATTTATTTTGATTTTGACACATTCAAGGTGTCCAAAAGGTTAATTAGGGGGACCCAGATCCCCTGTTTTGTGTTCTTTTATTCTTTTATTTTTTGTGTATTTTGAATTTTCTTTTGTTCCAACATATTTTTCAGGCAGTAATATTAGTTGTTTCTGTTTTGTTTATAAATTGTTTCACTTTTACCTTTATCAGCTCTACAGAACTCTGGTAGGCTTTGGCTTATTAATGAAGCAACAAAAAAATGGTTGTTTGTAATAAAATATATAAAAACATAAATAAACTACACTTTTAAAATTTTTCTTCAGGAGTTCTTTAGTAAATGGTTCCATATAGAACCTTGGACACTCAAGAACCCTTTGCATGATTGAAAGGTTCTTTGCATCGTAAAAGGGTTCTTCAGATTGATGGAGAAAAGGGCTCTGCTATTGTTACGATGTCACGCCCGTAACAATAGCAGAATCCTTTTTGGTGCCATGTAGGACCATTTTCAAAAAGGTTCTATATAGAACCATATACCACACATTCTCCATCAATCTGAAGAACGTTTCACCATGCAGAGAACCATTTAATCATGCAAAGCATGCTGTGAGTGTTCATGGTTTTATATAGAACCATTTTCTTTACTAAAGAACCTTGTAAAATCCATTATTTTTAAGAGTGTACTCAGAAAAATGAGTCAATAAGCCAACTTACCTTCAAAAACTCATCATTTATTATTGCGACTGGAAGACAAAACATTACATAAACGTTACTGTGACTCTCAGCAGAAACAAACGGGAGTAAAGACGAGACTTTTTCACAGAACAGACCGCGAGGTTATTTACATGTATTCATGGAAGTGTTCTTTGGCAGTAATGATTGCACATGAAGGAAACAGGCAGCTTTGTGGGATTCTTGTCTGAGTATCTGACTTATAAACCATGTGAAAATACAAGGTTCAACATCACAAAACTCACTGCTTTTCCCTTTGAGGTGGAGTTAAAACTGTAAGTGACTCGCAGCGACTTCAAAATGAAAGAGAAGAAGGAAACTAGAGAGCAGTTTTCCAAAATTCCTCCAGTGTTTCCATTCTCTTTTCTGTTTGAGCTGCTAATTGAGTCGTTTTTACTAAGATTATCAGGCGTTTTTGTGTCGTAACAATAAATGTGGGCACAAACACAGCTCGTACATTTGTTTACCAATAGAACAAATCCAAAAAAGGCCAAAACCCGAAACAGAGGGCTTAAAGGATCGTGGCTGGGCTTCTCCAAAGCATCTTAGTAAAAGGATGATTCTTCAGTGGTAGAGCGGGCATCACACTGAACATCCCTCTCTACCAGTTAAGATGGTCTTAAAACTGAGATGCATATTTGTGTTGCAGAACATACAATGTACTGCTACAAACCCAACTCATAAGATTTTTTTTTTTGTGAAACTGTATCGGTTTTTATTTTGGCTCAGTTGGTTTCACGCTGCATCAGTTAAAGTGCACCAAATTATATATGCAGGTGATTGTTTACTGGTTAGAAATTTTGCAGCTCTCTGTTACTTTCATATTGACCACCACTCGAGCCAAAAACTCCAACTGTGCATGAAATTAGAGATGCTTAATGTCTGTGCCTCACCACCAAAGCAATAATAATACATCTTACTTGATATCTGCTTCTTTGTTATTGGTTTGTCAATTTGAATGTGATGCAGTATGCTCATGATCCAAGAGCCAAAATTAGATGTTTTCACTTGCTAGGATATTTTTTGCAGTGTAGAAACGGTTTGAGTATCTGTACAAACAGGCAGACGATGCAGACAGTACAGCTGACGAGCTGCTAGAAGAAGCAGAAAGTCATGATCGGATGTTGAATTCCATCACTTGGTGCAGATCAATGTAAAAAGGTGTTCAAACTGAGCAGCAGACTGAACCAGGGTTCATTTGGAAGCATCCTGAGACCAGCAGGGTTCATTTGTTTGGTGTAGGTGAAGCACCTGTTAAAATGGACAGTGAAGTCTGATAGGTCTTCAACAACCAAGGTAGGTGTGAACGTGCCCATAGACAATGAATTTGGATTAAACTCACCTGTATTAGCATCATGGAGAAATGTAACATTTATTGGTTATCGCTAGTGTTCAAAAGTTTGTAATCACTGTTTCTTAAAAAGTAAAAACAAACCAGTTTCAGATAAATGCATAAAATGAGTGTAATCTGCTTTTCCAGAACAATTTCCCAGGTTTCGTCAGATCATCAGTAGGAAGCTGTAGATAAAAATGTAGAAATATTAGATCTGTCCAAAAATGATGACCAGAGCTGTAAAAGATTCTAAACTGCCTTCTGCGCAGCAGAGCAGGATCAAATCTCCGCACAGGCAAGAACACCAGAACACACTGTACTAACAAGAGTCCTTAGGCTAGACTCCTAACTTTACATTCACCTACATCTGTGACATAATGAAATCTGAAGCTGCTCTGGATAAGAGTGTATGCATAAATGTTTAGTTCATTTTTTATCAATTTATTCACTTCTTGGTCACAGAATTCTTGAAATATTCAGTAAACCATCAAAAAACATTTGGTGTCTAGTTTGTAATATTCAAATCCAGTTATTATTGTATATAAAATAACATTTCTGAATAAGTGCTTGCAAACTTTTGAACAGTAATAATAAAATGAATATAATGTAGATATATGAGCATAATAGCCTTGTCTAAACATTTTACAAAAATGTGTCATCAGATATCAGTTTTAATTATCAGTCAAATCTAAGATTCGGCCCAATGACAAACAGTTTTCACAGATACCAATATGATTCCAATATCATTGTGCATCCCTGTTATGAATTTCTTATATTGAATAGATTATTTATGAGACCTAACTGTCCATTACAAAACATAAAAAACAACAAAATAAACCCATAAACACATCCAAGCACATGTAGTGAAGACAGGCACAAGTTTAAAGGGTGTACAGAGTGAAAACTCACTCAACACTGATTCTCGACAAACATTTGGACACTTACACAGACGATTTTGCAGACCACCGAACTGAGGATTGTACAACAAACAACATCAGTTTCACCTGAAGCCCAAAAAACAATCCTGAGCTTCTGAATTAAAATCCATAGAGTATCTTCCATTAGAAGAGTCGTCTGATACAACCTTAATAAAAGTAACAGAGAAAAAACCTCTACGTTCTACTGTCATATGAAAATAAGTCATGCTTCATGCTAAATACATTGTCTATCATACATTTTCTTTGAATAAGAAGGAGAAAAAAAATACCTTCTTCTTATTTACAAGCACCCATGCAGTATAACTGAGAAAACTCGTAAGGCTAAATTATAAGCTTAAATAAAAAAATAATCATAAAATAGTAATAATAAAGTTCTGATCTTTTTTACAGTGTTATCCTGCAGGATAAAATTGCTTAGATTGTAATGTCATTTTAGAAAACAATACAAATCAAATAAATCAAGTAAAAATGTACTGGTACGGTTTGATAGTGTAACACAAAAGACAAGTTTTGTACCATTGCTTTGTATAATATACATATTATTATTACTAAGTGTGCTTCAGTTATAAATTTGCACTGGACATTTACATTAAGCTTGGCAGAAATGATTTATATATTGCATCTGATTTTGCATTTTGTCATCCATTAGACATTTTTCACAAACATTAAGAAAAATATTACCTGCTTAAAAACTGAACGGCAGAATGAAAGGTTCTGAGTTGGTGCACTGTGTGTTCATTCTGTTTGTTTTTTTTCATTCTCTTGTTTAAAAAATGACAAAATGATTCATTTCAGGGGTGCACAGCATGAGAGTCGGGTGCACTGGTCGAGTAATCTGCAAAGTCAATATGAGCTAACAAACATAAATCTCTGAACAATTCAGAGCAGATGCAATGTGTCAAACTGGCCGACCTTTATCTTTCATTAAAGGAGAGATTTTAAGTCAGAATATTTTTTAATATAGAACCACCAACATCCACCTAATCAGGATAAGGAGGTGGGACCACTAACATGCAAACCAATCATGTCAAAGAGTCAGCACCACCAACATGCAGCCCATCAGGACTACCAAAATCCAACCAACCAGGACAAGGAAGCAGGACCACCAACATCCAACCAAACAAGTCAAAGAGGTGGGTCCAACAACATCCAACCAATAAGGTCAAATAGGCAGGACCAGCAACAACCCACCAATCAGGACTACCATAATCCAACCAATCAGGGCAAGGATGCAGGACCACCAACATCTAACCAATCGGGACTACCAACATCCAACCAATCAAGTCAAAGAGGTAGGACCACCAACCTCCAACCCATCAGGACAAGGAATGCCGGACAACCAACATCCAATCAATCAGGACAAGGATGCAGGACAACTAACACCCAACCAATCAGACAGGGATTTGAAGCACCAACATCCAACCGACCAAGACGAGGAGGTGAGCCCACCAACATCCAACCACTCAGGTCAAATAGGCAGGGCCACCAACATCCAACCCATCAGGACTAAGATGCAGGACCACCAACATTTAACCATTCAGAACAAGGAGACTGACTGACAACATCCAACCAATCATGACAAGGACACAGACCACCAACATCCATCAATCAGTCAAGGATGCAGGACCACCAAAATCCAACCAATCAGGTCGAATAGGCAGAACTGCCAACAACCAACCAATCAGGTAAAAGAGATGGGACCACCACTATCCACCCCATCAAGACAAAGACGCAGGACCATCAACATCCAACCAATCAGGACCACCAATATCCAACCAATCAGAACAAGGAGGCAGGACCACCTTCAACCAGTCAGGACCAGAGAATTTTTATCTAGCTTGCTAACTAACACTTGTGTTAGCAAACTTCTGCTGAAATCAATCAATCCCTCCTTTACACTGACTCTAGTGATTAAACAGCTGTGCACCCCTGGAAATAAAAGTAATCATTTCAACATGAACACAAAGTATACATTTTTGCAGCGTAGGTTGGTTTTTATCACTGTTTGGTCAGGTACTCTTCTAACTAAACATGGTTTAGCTGCACTCGTTTATGTAGGAATCATCTTTGGCACTTCCCAGAGTAAGAGCAGCAGGTAAAACCTTTAAGGCTGTTTTCACACACACTCCAAACAGGAGTTCACGGTCCCGTTCAGTTTCATACGGATGCTAACAGAAGCGTGTTTTGACATTGCCCGAACTGGAGGCCCAGCTCTGATGGTTTATCACTGGCAATCCTAAAAGCTCAATCCCAATTTACTGCTCAAATCTGATGTTTTTGTTTGGTTGTTTACATTATCTTTTTGATTGTATATATTAAACAGTGTGAACAGATCATGCTCTTAAGATTATTCTATCTCTGATCTCTGAATTTCTGAACTCAATAAATAGCTTCATGCTAATCTTTGTGATGATCCAGCACAGAAATACAGTTCAAACATTTCCTGAATCTGTAGAGTCGCCCTTTTCATTCCATCTTATCATGAGATCGTATGTGACTCACATCCGGAGTTATGAGGCTATGAAGAGCTTTTGAGATACACGTCATCTGCCTCTCACCGTGTGGAACTGGTGGATTCATGTGTCCATCTACATTCTGTGTGAAACTGACCAATGGACACCCAGGAAATCACTAAGGACTGACCATCACGCCGGAAACCCTTCATTCTTCATTCAGTCCACATCAGAGATGTGAAATGGCGAGCAGAGAGTTTACAGCTGCTGAAGTTGCTGCAGCGGTTTTGGAAAGTAGTGATGAAAATAACAGAGCATTTTGATATGAAACATTTGAGTATCATGTTATACGAAGAGCCTTTAAAGGAAAATTTAAGGGGATATGAACAAATCAAGATAACAACCTCAGACCACAGAGGGTTAAACATCTAAATCTGTCACAGAAATAAGATTCGGCCCACTTTTACCTGCAGTGCGAACGTGGCCTTAGGAACTTTGTAGCATTTTACATAAGAGCAACTGGAAACAGAGCAGTTTTTAACTGTCTGACACAGTTTGTGTTGGACTCTATTGTAATGTCAAATGTTTAGAGAACGTCCTCAGTTAGAGATCTTTTACATCCGTTCTCTATTGGGCTCTAATTAGGCCACTGATTGAGCTGAAAAATACCCGTGAGTGAATGGATCTCTCCCACAGGGTAGTCTGCTGTCTCTTTAGTCACGAACAGAGCTTGAGGGAACACCTTCATGTTCAAACATCTGCTTTCATACAGGCTGAGGGAATGCTTCCCAATCCTGTGCTTTACATATTTTAGTGTTTTTCCTGCTATTGCACACGAGGGAGTTGGTAATTACCCAAAGAGAGGAATCAGGTGTTAGATTCACAGAATTTTTTAGTTTTCACACCAAGCTATTTTAGAAACAAATGATGCTCTGGTTTTAACCCAGAATTATCAAAACGAAAATAAGCCATTTAGGCTACATGGCAGTAAAGGGTAGGAGGTGCATCTACAGTGTAGAGGGGACCACTTGAGTTGCATAGAATGAGTGGGAACTATGCAGTGATATAGGTCAGAATGGTTTTATAGGTAGGTTTAGGTAGGTAGGTTTATTGTTTTATTGTTGGTGGTTTTATTGTACAGTTTTATTGTAGTGGTGGTAAGTATGGTACAGTCCTGGTCTTGATATATTTCTATATTTATATATCATTATATTATTCTTTTTCCCCCGAATAAAACTGATTTAAATGCTTCAGTAAGACTTACTATTCTGGGGTGTCTCTTTACTTTTAACAACTAAAGTAAATCTGAAATATTTTATTGTGCAAATTACACAGAGAATCCTGTGTCAGTATTGCTTTCTAACACTTAAAACCGGTGCTAAATGTTGTTTTCTATACAGGCTTCGGAATGTAACTGCTTCACCATTTAAGGTGAGCTGGGAAATTCAAATAAGAAGCCAACTTCAGTTTAATTGAATTTCATTTATCTCATGCGTGCATCCTGTACCCTCACCCCTACACTCTTCTTCCTGGTTAGCTGATCTGTGCTAGCTCTACTATGCTACTTATCCAGCTAGCGAGTAGGTAAAGAATGCACAGTTCAATACTGTGAAAGAATGACAAGAACATCACAATGTTCTTGCAATGTGGTTAATTAGCCTTTAACTGCTGTGCTGTCAATTGTTAAAGCAACTCACGTTAGCCAAATGAATTAAGGTAAGAAACTGTGTGTTGGCTAGTTGGCGGTGGTTAGTTTCATGTCTTTTAGCCTTAATGCTTGTTAGCTGGCTTTGCAAATCTGTAAACAGGCCCCCGCTAAATGTAATTCTGGCCATATCACTAATACATAGTAGTATATTTTGGTTAAAACACATTTTGGGCAAGTTTGAAGCCCTTCCATGTTTTTTGCTATGCTTGAAATGGCCTGAACCTGGCAACCCACTGGGCTAAAATAAACCATGTTCTGAAATCAAACTCAGGTTTGTAGACATGTGAAAACAGCCTCAGTCAAGCTTTCCTCTTTACTTTTGGAAGAATTTTGACATCTCCTGCACTAGTTAGCCATATTATGCGTGAAAATGAAAAATCCTTGTACGTTAATGACTTTCGCTATGGCTTGTATCCCTTTACGCGAGTGCACAAAAAACAAACTGAGGCCTGTTAAAAAAATAGTGCTTGAACGTAAGTAAAACGTTGATTTGATCAATATTGCCACATATGAATTCACCTGAAATTCTAAAAAAGAACGAGTGGGGCCTGTCGGGGAGCAAAGACTGGCAGGAATAGCATCGCTAGCATGCTAAAAATCTCTGCGATGCTAGTGTTGCAAATCTTTCTCCGCCTCTCTCTGGACTTTGGAGGTGTTCTGATTGGTTTTGTTCTGAGAGGCTCGTACTCCAGCCAGGTGAAGCAGCGACCCCGCCGCCTCCTTCATCTCTTCGTCCTCATTGTCGCTGGGTGGGAATTTCTCTGCCCTTCTCTTTTTCAGAGGAAGCGTATCGCCGGGTTTTAGCAGACGGACTTTGGTGCAGTTCGTTCTTCTGATAGGCTGCTCTGATGTTACCAAGGTGGTGCTCAGGGGGAAGTCTCTAGGCTCCTTTTTGACCTCTGTGACCACTCTGATGATCTTCGGACCTTGGCTGCAGACAGGTTGGGTGGTGTGGGGAGAACTGGAAGAAGAACTGCACTCCTCCGGTGGATCATTGCTGGATAAACTGGTTTTATCTCGGGTCAGATAATCACCCAGAACCGTTCTGAAAACACAAACAGGTTGTTGGGACCTTTAAAACTCTGAAGATTTAACTTAAGATTAAGTTAAGATTTAACTACTATTTCAACTGTGCTACACTTAGTGGGTAGTAACTACAGTCGTAGTTTGGGCAACCTGGTCTAATGGCATAAATGTTGATATTCTAAGTGTAAATAAGTTACACATTATCTGCAGAGAACATCACAATTACTTTATCTACTGAATTTAACATACTGGGGAAAAAATCTAACATAAATCGTGATCTCTGCATAGGTGATGACACATTTTATGTTTTACGTGAAGTACACTACCAGTCAAGAGTTTGAACACACTTAATTGAATGTACATTTTCAGAATCTTAAAGACACTTAAAAGGGCTTTGGACTTGAAATCTTTAAAATCCCATAATCCTTAGAAGATATAGACTTTGACAGTACTGCTTATGCATGGTTTCAGAAGGCAGCGTGTTACCTTAGGAAATATTCACTCAGAATTTTGATCAGTTACTAAAGGTGTGCCTCGGGGTTCAGTTCTGGGATCAGTATTGTTTTCAATGTATCAACGATATTGCTTCATCTGTAACTGACTGTAATGCTCATCTATATGCAGATGATGCTATTGCATAGCAAATTCTACATCTGATTACAAATATCCTTTAATGCCATACAAGTTGCATTCTATGATCATAACTGTTCACTGAACACAGATAAAATAAACTTTGTAGTATTTTTTAAATATTGACAATGTTTACCTGGGCATTACTACTCTAAATGGTTTATAAGTATTTAGCAATTGGGTGGTCAAGAAACTTAAACTTAAGACATCATGTGACTACAATTACTAGGTACCAGAAAAAAAGCTTGATATAGAAAAATGTTTCCCATTGCACAGCAGAAAGGTGATTGTTATCCAAAGTTTTTTTTTTGACTGTTCATTTATTTCACCTTCTTTTTTTGCACTTATTTTGCTTTGTGTATTATTTTATGTACTGGAGTCTAAACAAAGAAGAAATAAACATTCTGACCTAAAGGGTTCTGCTTAAATGCAAATGAATTAGGTTTCTAAGACAAATACAGACAGTAAAGTTTGAAATAAACTTCCAAAACAAACAAAATAAATTAATTACTATATATATATATATATATATATATATATACACATATATACATATACACACACACACATATATATATACATATACATACATATATATATATTTCCAACAAGTGATTTTTAGCAACAGCAAGGTCTCAGCCTGGGTGTATATTCTTCAATTCTGTAAATATATTTTCTACTATTTTCTTATAATTTATTCTATATATTTGTTTTTGTTGTTACTGTGTAAATGCTATGTGTCAAAACAAAGTCATGGTAGTAAAAGGGTCACCTCTGTGGGCGATGCATCTGAGGTTGAGACTAGAAAGATACTAACCTCACTCCTGTGGTCCTCCCTAAAGGACTTATGGGTAAGGGTCTGATGACTGGGAGAAGCCCCTCAGTTCCGAGCCGGGAGCCGTGCTGGATCACTTTCTGAGGAACTAAACAGAACACAAACATCACCTGCACAGCACTGTGATCTCATCTCATTAACATTATACTGCATCAGCAAAAGCAGGAGCAGAGATTTCTCTGAGAACCTGTTGTGTGTAGAATGATAATTAGGATTAGAGCAGCTCCTTATACGGAAAAGCATACTGAGGATTTCAGACCACTCAGTCTCAGTGGTAATAAACAGATGAGATTAATACTATTTGTCTGATCCACTTGCACCAGTGCAACACACACTAACACACCACCACCACACCAGTGTCACTGCAGTGCTGAGAATGACCCACCCCCTCAATTAATGCTCTGTGGGGGTCCTGACCATTGAAGAACAGGGTGACAAAGTATGCAGAGCTGATAAAGTGGACAATGAGTGTAGAAACAAGGAGATGTTTCTAATAAAGTGCTTAGTTAGTGTGTATGTGTGCAATAGTGTCAATTTTTAGCAGTGACATTTATGTCAAACATATATGGAAACATATCACAAACTTGACACAAGTTTTTAAAAACATATAGAAATATATTTCCTTTGTATGCAGTTCTGAACCAGTGATTAACCAGACCTGCTGGCTTCAGGAAGAACACGTCTGATATTAAACAATGCCTGGATATGCTATATTTCATCTTTGGTTTTGAAAAAGTCTTCTTGCTTGTAGTCCCTGAAGTGAATGACGTCATGCAGCCCACTGCTGTTTACCCTGCAAACACAACATCTGCATGTGCACACATGAGCTCAGAGTGAGCTCAGGAGGACACTTTCTGTGGATTATAAGACCACTTAGGACAACAATACTGATACTGGGACATTGAGGACGTCAATCAGCTAAAAACAGAACAGCTCTACTTAGCCCAAATATATCAGTACTATGTTTATGGATAACAGCGATAGTTAATAATAATAATAATAAAAATAATAATAACACCCTTTATTTATAAAGCACATTTCATGCTGGTGGCAGCTCAATGAGCATTACAGCAATAGAAGAAATTATGAGTACTAATTTAAAATCTTAGAATAATCTGATTAGATCAGATTAAAGACATAAATACCAATAGACATAGAGTTTTAATGAAGCACTGAGTTAAAGAGCTGCATTTTCAGATGTTCATTAAAAGTGAGCTTGACTGTCTGATAAAAGTTGAACTGAGCTCCACAGTTTAAAAGCAGAATAACAGAAAGAGCCTCTCCATGTTTTCTGTATTTTACGGAAGGTGTTTGCAGAAGGTCAGTATCTGCTTTAAAATCTCTCCTAAAAGATCCAGGCAGTCAGTGCAGTATGTAAACGGTGGTGATGTGAGCTCTCTGTGTTGGTGTTGTGAGGATCCGTGCTGCTGCGTTCTGTACGAGTTGTAGGGGATGGATTGTTTTCTCCAGTAAGAAGATCATTACAGTGATCAACTCTGTTGCACACATGATAAAAAGCTGCTCAAGTGACTGTGTTTACATGCAGGATAAAACAGAACTCAGAATCTAAGATCACACCCAGGTTTCATTATTTGAATAAAAAGAAATCCATTTCAGTTTACTAATTACTTCCCCTGAACAGATTGTTGGCTGAGTTTACAGAGGCCCCCCCCAGATTCACAAACAGAGTCACGCAGCCAGCACATGCACACGCTAATTACATACAAGCACACACATGCAGAATCTACAGTACATAATATCATCAAAAGATTCAGAGAATGTGGAGAAATCCCTGTATGCGAGGGACTAGACCAACCTTCGTGATCTTCAGGCCCTCGGGCAGCAGTACATTAAAAACAGGCATGACTCTGTACTGGAAATCACTGCATGGGCTCAGGAAGTTTCTCTCTATTATGATCTGTGTCAATTTTTAAATGTTTATCTGTCATCCTTCAGTGCTAGCCTGAACTGAAAGTTTGACGTAGCAATAGTAAGGCAGCACTTTGAACTTTGAAAATAAGCTGCGTTCCAAAGCCTAGGCTGCAGCCGAGGCCGTGTGGTTCCTCGGTAGGACTGTCCTATGAAGAATCCACCTTAGTAGCCTATTGGTCACACAAATGGAGCAGCCCTAACAAGGCTGAGTGATGATATCACCAGAAAGGTCCCGCCTCTGCAACTGCGGCATGAAACTTGTGAGGGAACTGGTGAGAGAAAATGGAGCCTGTTGCGTTGAGTTTGTTGCTTTCTCATTTCTTCATGGAAATGGAGACGTTCTTATGTAGTACGATAAACTGCACGTACACAAATACTTCTAAATAAAATACGATACATGGACGATACACACATATATGGACAAATGCTTTAATTAATCAGTCATTTTATAAGGTAACGATGTCGAATTAAAGGACGTGAACAATTACATTTTAAAACAAGCTCTGCTCCAACGGCTTTGTTTTCCATCATTTTCGTGGTGCTGTTTTTTTTTTCCTTTGCATCATTTGTGCGCAGAGAACTGTGGGTAACGTTCTGCATTTCTAGACTGTATATGAAGGGTCCTTCACTTTGAAACAGCCTTCTATGATGTAGCAGCCGAGAAATGTAGCTTGCCTCGGCTGCAGCTTAGGCCTCAGAACGCAACTACAATCAGTTTATCACAATAAAGTTAAAAAATTGCCATGTTATCAAACCCTGTTGTGTGATGCCAACTGATGGGGTATAAGGCTCCATTACTTGTTAGCTACATAAGCCTCACAGCTCCAATGTTAAAAAAAGCAAACTTCAGACACCCAACATGTCTTGGCTGAACTACATTCTCAGTTAAGAGGGGAAAATGTGTAAATTAGATTTTTGGCCAAACTATCGCTTTAAGTAGACACCCACTCAGCCTTACTTATCACCCAGAAGCCAAATACATTGAGTGTATTCTCGTTCAGACTCTCTAGTGAAGCAGCTCTGGGGCCATTATTCCATTAACAGGTGCTCAGTAATGGAGGAGGAAGCTGTTCAGACGGATAATGGATCTATTTTCTCCCAACACGCGGATCTCTGTGCTGGGAGAGAGCACTCTGATTGGTATTGAATGGCTATTTTAACGGCTCAGCCACCACCAGGGCCGGCGAAAGAGAGAGAAAGATGAAAGATGAAGAAGCACTTGGAGGTAATTGAAGCAAAGGCAATGTTACGGGTAGAAGACAATGGAAATTCCCAACAGATCTATCCATGCGCCGCCTACTGCTATGAGGTTGGACGAGCTTTACAGAGCGCTGGTAAAAATCCCATTCAGCCCAATCAGAAACTGTAGAAAAGACTGTAGAAAAGTTTATATCACAATACCTACATTTAGAGTCAGTTATTCATTCAGTCTAATGAGAAACTGTAGAACAGACTCAGTTTATATCACAATACCTACATTTAGAGTCAGTTATTCATTCAACCTAATGAGAAACTGTAGAACAGACTCAGTTTATATCACAATACCTACATTTAGAGCCGGTTATTCATTCAACCTAATGAGAAACTGTAGAACAGACTCAGTTTATATCACAATACCTACATTTAGAGTCGGTTATTCATTCAACCTCATGAGAAACTGTAGAACAGACTCAGTTTATATCACAATACCTACATTTAGAGCCGGTTATTCATTCAACCTAATGAGAAACTGCAGAAGTTTCGCGTTATAGACTCATAGTATCTATCACACATTTTTGTATAGGAATGGTCAGATCTTTCCCACCTAGAAATGAATGGCGGAATGCTCAAAAATGAAGCTTGTAAACCCCTCAGATCACCATGATAGAAGTACACTAGCAACACCCTAGCAACCACCTGGAATATCATAACAACCAGCTATCAATACTTTAACAACCACCTGGGATAACATAGCAACTGCCTAGCCACACCCTAGCAACCACCTAATAAAACCCTGGCAACCATCTTGGATACATTAGCAACTAGTTAGTAACCACCTAAGAGTACCCTAGCAACAACACAGCAACCACATGGAATAGCATTTGTTAGCAACATCCTATAGGAACCACTTAGCAACACCCTAGCAACCATCTTGGATACCTTAGCAACCAGTTAGCAGTGCCCAAGCAACAACATAGCAACCACCTAGAATAACATTCAAATTGTTTAGCAACACCTTAGCAACCACCTAAGATACTACAGCAACCCCTAAGCAACATCATAAAAGCTACGTGGGATAACATAGCAGCTGCCTAGCCACACCCTAGCAACCACCAGAAACACTATAGCAACCATCTAGTAATACCCTAGCAACCATCTTGGATACCTTAGCAACCAGTTAGTAACCATCTAACAGTACCCTAGCAACAACACAGCAACCACATGGAATAACATCTGAATTGGTTAGCAACATCCTATAGGAACCACTTAGCAACACCCTAGCAACCATCTTTCTTACCTTAGCAACCAGTTAGCAGTACCCTTGCAACAACATAGCAACCACCTAAGATACTATAGCAACTACTTAGCCACACCTTATCAACCTCCTGAGATAACATAGCAACTGCCTAGCTGCACTCTAGCAACCATCTGAAACTCTATATCAACCACCTTGCAAAACCCTAACAATCATCTTGGATACCTTAGCAACCACTTAGAAGCCACATAGCAATGCCCTAGCAACCACCTAACAAATATCATAGCAACCAATTAGCAACACCCTAGCAAAAGCAGGGAACTGCATAAGCTACACAATTACTCCGCATTTAATTCAGGAAATGAACTTCACTCAATTTCAAAACAGTAGTTTTTTTTTTGATTACTTTTTTATTAGTTTTGAAACAGTTATAGCAAAAGAATACAAAGGAAAAGTGAAAGGAGGCACAGTGTATTTTCATTTCTAGCGATTTAACAGTTACATACAAAAGGAGTACTTAATATTCAGACCCACATGCCGGGCTCCTGTGTCTAGGCGAGACAAAGACTTTCTCCATTTAAAGTGAAACAACTCAGAACTTTTCTGAAGCTTAAATGAAAGATTTTCTAACATTTCTCTGTACCAGTGAGGTGCAGATGGTGCTGTAGAGGCCCTCCACTCTCTAACAATCAATTTACAGCCTAGCATTACAGCAGTCTGAGTCCAGTCGATCTCAGAGGGCTCCAGATCTGACAGAGCAAAAGCTCCCCAATCCAGGTGAGAACTGAACGTGTTTACCCAGAATTGTCTCAATATGGTACTGGATGTCAGACCAGAAAACCTGTATATTAGGACAGTCCCACATCACCTGCATCATAATGCCTGGCTCGCTTCACAGCGCCAACAAGTGGGCCTGTCTAGGATTATAAATAGTCTAGACCAGGGGTGTCAAACAAAAAAATCTCAACAGATCTATGGGTCAGCTGTGTTTTTATTTTATTTTTACTTAACATTTTGCCATGACCCCAACTGGCCATTGTTTATTCAAAATAGGCACTATTCAAAAAAAGGCACTGAATACTTAAATGATTCAAAAATAATAATTGTTTTATATAAAACAATAGATGACATTAGCTGCAGATAACTGTAAAACCTCTTTAAATGTCCCCTAATGTACAGTAGGATTTTTAAAACTGCTCATTTGCTTGAACAGAAAGACACAAATATAGAAGTGCTTATGCATAAATAACACTTGAAAGCGTTTTACCTTGTAGGATTACTCCACCATTTTTTCGGAAGAGTGGACTCCCTGACCATAGGGGACGACTGGAAAAAAAAGAGAAAGAAAAGAAGAGAAGAGATGGGTCAGCTATCAGAGAGTGTGGTCACTCCAGAGTGATTATTAATTGCGGCCTTTATAACCCCAGGCGGATTAAAATGGCTTTGATTAGCTGTTAGAGCTGCTTAACACACCACACAGCTCTCTTCACTCATTAGTCTGACAGTAACACAATAACTAGTTATTACTATTATTTTGCTTTGCAGATGTAATATCATAATATTACATGTTTAATCACATACAGACATAATGAATTACATTTAGATCTGATTTGCTTTCAGTATCGAGAGGTTGAAGTGTGACTTTTTCTGCTTGTTTTGATGTCAGAAACACATAAAGCCACAAAAAAAGGCCACCTGCTGTTGCCATGGAGTTCAATGTTGCTATGGAAATAGGATGTTTATTTGTCTATCTCGTTTTTATCTTTTTTCCCGATTAACAGCTTTCCTTTACTACAGCACCTGGCTCAGCCCAAATGTTGCCATGGAGGTGTTCCAGTCACCATGGTAACGAGGGTATGTAGGGACAGGTTTAGGGTGGGCAAGTGCGCAGATGTAGGTACAAGTGCTTGATGTGACCGCATCGTGCGCTAAAATGCGTCTGAAATTAGTGTTCGATTTCCTTAAGCTGTGTTCACATATTTGCATTGAAAAAACGTAAACATGAAGCCAGGCACAGTGACCGCAGTGCGGGCAAACAGGGGTAATTATCAGAGGACAGCTATAGCAGTGTAGGTTGTCTATTTAAGGTGGAAAGGCAGTAGGATGCTCTGTACTCTTTTACTTTTTTTGTTTTATACTGTTTGTTCTGCATTTGCCGTCCATGACTCAGTGGCAGACTTTTTGGTTATGGCTCCTTTGAAAACAATGGAATGTCCAGTTTGTCATCGACCATCTACTGCTAACAAGTGAATTCAGCATTAGACTATAGTTAGTCACACACACATGGCATGTAGCCCTGTCCACCAACTGCAAGCAGGGTTCAAATGGCACAGTAAGGAAGCTTAAGACAAAAATAGCAAAAGAAGTTACTGGGATGTTTTTTTCACTCCAGTTAAGAAAATAGAGTTAGTGAAACAATAACACAGAAGTCAAGTGCATACTGCAACCACACTGCAGTACAATTTTGAGCTGCATCTTCACACAAATGTGAATCTGGTCTTGAGTGTTTAAACTATGCGATATCCAATAATATTTAGCACAATATTTTCTAGTTAATACATTGTGAATATCGAGTATCATAATCACAGCCCTTTCCCCACCCAATACACATGATCCACTGCAGCTTTGACCTACTTTCTATTCTATTTTTAGTTTATATGTTTTTTACATTAATGATTTCTTTAGTGAAGAAAATGGTTCTACATAAAACCATGAACACTCAAAGAACCCATTGCATGGTGAAACTGTTCTTCAGCTTGATGTGTTGTTCTTGAAAAGAGTTCTATATAGCACCAACAAGGGTTCTTCTATTGTTACAAGCTTGACATTGTAACAACAGAAGAACTCCCTATGGTGCTGTAGAACACATTTTCCATCAAGCTGAAGAACAGTTTCACCATGTAATTGGTGTGGCTTCATTCACATTTTTTTCTTCTTGCCACCAGCACAACAATAGCCTCGCTGTCATCCGCCATGTTTGTTTAGATTTAAAGTCACGTTAGTTTGCGATAAATCCCATGATGTAGCAGAATGTGGGCAACTCCTGCAAGGTATTGAGAATCTGAGTCATTGGACTGGGCCTTTTGTTTGCGTGCATAATCTGAAAGTGTAGGGTGTTTCATTCAGGGCAGATCGTGCATTGTGGGGACCTTGATGACCAACAACAACCAAGGACAAAAGAATTGAAAAATGTCATTATGTGTGGGTCTTTCACATTTTCAACATTGGTAAGGGTTTTTGAAATCCTGTAGTGTGGACCAGGCATTAGTCAGTTCAGCAGTGAAGCAGTGAAGGTGTGATTACCTGTGGTATTGCTGTGGAGAGGAGAGTGTGGGAAGCTGAGGAGAGCAGGGCTGATACGGGGTTTTCTTCAGAGCCTGGATCAGGTTGTGTCTGTATTCAGGATCTATAGACCACAGAGAACCTTTACCTATACTCTACAGACAGACAGAGAGAGAGAGAGAGAGAGAGAGAGAAGAGAGAGAGAGAGAGAAATTAATCAATCAAACACTGCTTTCTTTGCAAGCGTATAACCGTATAATATAGCAACTAACCATTATTTCTGTTTGATTAACAATATAATAAACTTTTTTGTATACCACCTTTACATAAAGCATAAGGAGAAAACAGAAATTCAGTTAAACAGTCTGACACATGGGTAGGTGCCAGTCCATCAGTGTCCTTTAAAAATAAATAAAATAGCTTAAAAAGTATTCTTATTGAACGGGAAGCCAATGAAGTGCTGCTAACACAAGGTAATTTGTTCATTCTTTCCTGTTCGGGTTAGAACTGCTGTTGCTGCCTTCTTTATAACCTACACTTTATCTATACTTTTTTTAGTCAAGCCAGTGAACAGTGCATTCCAGTAATTCAAGCGGGAGAAAACAAAAGCATGAGTCAACTTCTTAGCTTCGTGTAGTTTGAGATATGGCCGGACTTTGGCAATGTTTCTAAGATGAAAGAATGCTGTTTTAGTTTCATTTTCAATGTGAAGTTTAAAACTGAGGTCAGAGTCAAGGACAACAGCCAGGTCTCGCACTTCAGATTTAATGTATGTTGCCAAACCTCCTAGTTCGCTCACAATCTGTGCTTTGTGTGCAGTAGATCCAGTTAAAAGAATTTCAGTTTTATCTTCATTAGTTTTCAAGAAATTATTCATTCAATTCGTTAAACTTGATAAACAATCAACTAGCTAATCGACAGCACTTGTTTCATCAGGTGCAAAAGAGATATAAAGTGTGTATGGTCAGCGCAGCCATGGAAGTTGACTCCATGTTCACTGATGATATGGCCAAGTAGTAGCATATATAATGAAAACATGAGTGGCCCTAAGATAGACCCCTGTGGTCACACTTTCCTGAGAGAAATTCAGCAAGGGTAACAAAATACTGTCTATCAGTCAGGTATGTATAAAACCGTTTTAAGTACATTTCCAGAAAGTCCAATCCGATTTTGATGTCTGCCTAAGGCCCGATCCCATTTCACCCCTCGCCCCTACCACTTATCCCTTAATCGGGGTGTCCTGATTCTTGTTGAGATAGAGGGGTACATGGCCCTCCAAATGGAGGTTTTTTCAGAAGCACACTCCAAACAGAGTGTTATGAGAAAAAAAGAAAAACTGGCAAGATGGCTGCGCAAGCGACCAAAGAAACCCAGAAATGTGAGTATTTTCTCTGTTAAAAAAATACAATAACTATTGCGTTATCTTAGTTTAATGTTGTTTCAATGTATTATGGTCAACAAGCATAAAAAAAAAAAAATCACAAGTAGCAGCTGATGTCTCGGTAGCTAGCTGAATTGCCCGTTCCACCTTAAATGGTGCAGCAGGTACAGACATACAACCTCAGGCATCAGAACTGGAACGGGAAAACTCATACACAAAGCTGGCAAATAGCTGACTTGCTTCACATCACAGAAGAATTAGGGGTGGGCAATAATAAATAATTGTGAGGTTGCTGAACTTTACCCTCCTCTGCTATCACTGCAGACTGGCTAGGTCATCTACAGAACACAGCTAGTAGCCTGTTAAAGAAGTAATGTTTTTTTTTTTTGTTTGAGGGTTGTCCCACTTCGTAGAGAAAATTTCAACCACTACCCCTCTGACCCTCCAAAACAACAGGTAGGGGTTAAAATAAGAAAAAGGATTGGGCCTAAGAGTGTACAGTGATCAACAGTATCAAAAGTACCAATTATTATTCTGTTAAAAAAAGTGAGACATTATGTCGTCTACTGTGGACTCGCACTTCAGCCCATTCACAATCATTCACAGAAGCCTATTCTAAATCTCTGGACTCCAGCCTCTCGGACTTTGGACGCATGTTCTTTGATGTTCAAGTGCTAAAGTGCTCAATGCAAGCATGCAGTAATGAAAGAAGACTTCAGCTTGACTCACTTCCACCAATGAGACTGACACTAAAATATGTATATTTGTACATGAATTGTGTTTTACTTATATAGGAAGGCATTCTTCCTTCGTTAGTCTTTTTTTATGTATTTATGTTTTTTGTAACTCCTTCCATTTAGTTTATCACATGTGCTTTGCTATAAATACCACAAGCTAAGTCTCCTGAAATCTGCATCCCAAACAGACTCAGTAAATTTGCTATAAGTTGGCATTAGTCTCCTTGCAGTCTAGATAAATGGCAAGATTAAATATAAATACATTTTTACTTAAACTTAACTGAATTATGAGATTGATTTCAACACAATCAAATGGCTTTTATAATAAGGCAAATTTTCGGATCCAAAATAGTTATATAAACTGGCTAAGCTTAATCTACCATCACATTTCCAACTCAACTCATTAAAGGTAATTGGACTTTTTTAATAGTGTTGACATCACTATTATCACTTATTATTCAGTAACTACAGGGACTTCAGTGCAAACTGCCTGAGCTATTCTTAGAGTATAGAAGTGTGTGATAAAATTTTGGGCCTGCTGGTGGCCCCTGGCCATTTAAGGGGTTAATTTATTTGTGCTTATGTCTCATGATGCAGGTGAAAATCCCATGAGACCTTGAAAAAACACTATTTATTCTCTTTTATTTGACTTGAGTGACTTTTGTTGATTTAATGCCATTTTCAAAAAATATTTTCATGCATAACCTCTCTTTAAAAACAAAGGCCGCACTGGTGAGCTCAGAAACACTAAAAGGGCTGGGCTAGACAACCATGGCAAACAACTGTGGTAGATGACAGAAGAATTCTTGTCATCCACTACACTACTTCCTGGTGGAGAAACACAACATTTGGCAGATCAAGAACATCCTCCAGGGGGCTGGCGTTTCTGTGTCAAAGTCAACAATCAAGCGAAGACTTCACCAGAGTAAATACAGAGGGTTTAGCACATGATGTAAACCATTAGTAGGCCTCAAGAACAGGATGACTATATTAGAGTTTGAAAAAAAAACATCTAAAAAAGTCTTTATAGTTTTGGAACAACATGTTATAGACAGATCAGATAAAGATTAACATTTACAGCATTTGGCAGATGCTCTTACCCAGAGCAACTTACAATTTGATCATTTTACACAGGCAGGTGAAGGGAGTGTTAGAAGTCTTGCCCATGGACTCTTATTGGTATAGCTTAGGTTGATTGCCCAGGCAGGGAATTGAACCCCAACCTGCAATGTGGAGAACAGAAATGGTGCCCACTATATTAGTCACATGTACCAACACGTATCAGAAAAGATTGAAGGAGAAGAGTATAAAGAAGACAAGGAACACCTTATCCGTCCAGCATGGTGGAGGTAGTGTTATAGTGTGGGCATGTGTGGCCACCAATGGAATTGGTTTTAATGACCCAAAGCACACTGCCAATGTAACTCAAGACATTTTTAAGGCAAAGAAGTGGAATGTTCTGCAATAATCACCTGATCTTAATCCAATTGAGCGTGCATTTCACTTATTGAAAGGCAAAACTGAAAGGTAAACGTCCCATAAACGAGCAGAAACTGAAGACAGCTGCAGTAAAGACCTGGTAGAGCATCACCAGGGAGGAACCCCAGCATCAGGTGATGTCTATGGGCTCCAGACTTCAGGAAGTCATTGACTGCACAGGATTTGCAACTAGGTATGAAAAATAATTTAAGATTGTTAGTTTGTCCAGTTACTTTTGAGCCTCTAAAAATGAGGGTATCTGTATGAAAATGATTGTAATCCCTACACTGTAGGAATAGGTTGCAACCTATCCATGTTGCAGCCCTAATAAGAAGTTGGATTTCTGTTAGATGACAGTAACACTGTCAACACTGTAGGAGCTGCATTTCCCAGCAGTGGGATCTAGAGCTTCTAAGCTGTTCTATTCTCCCAATCAGAAAGATTAAGAAGCATCAGCCTGACCCACAGGGAACGCTGCTTAACCCAGCCAACAGAACGCTCCACAAACGTTCCCCAAACGTTCCTCTAGCCCAGACAGACGAGCAACAAAGCTGACGGGAAATTGAAAGGTACGGAAGAGGATTAGGACTGTCTTATCTCTCCAATACTGAACTATTTGCCGCTGAAATCAGTGCCGTCTGATGAAAGACAGAGGAATCTTTTTAACTTTCTTCCTCTGCGGGCAAACCAGGCTGTATTTTTAGATCAAAGAAGCACCTCCCCTCCTAATTAAGCTGTCGGCGCTCCGTCAGAAAGCTTGAAAAGCCCCCCACCCTATAAAGAAACAATCCAAACGAGCCGTGAAATTCAGCACCCCACTCTTTTGATCTCAGCTGTCATGTATGCTACAAAATATGGGCCACGATGACAGAAACGAGGACGGTAACAGAGGAAAGCAGGATTTAATCTATCTGATAGGTATCTTTAGGACTGGCTTTGATAACACTGATAATTATTTTATTAGAAAATCTTGCAAACTTTCAGCTGAGCTCTAGAGCGGGAAACACCTCACTGACACAGGAACTGTAGTTACAGTATTCAGAAACGTAAGCGTTAATAAAACAGCGCATTAAGTGTTTAAAAAAATGGTCATTCAAAGGTTCTTTAGAGAAGAAAAATGGTTCTTTATAAAATCATGAAGTCAAAAACACTCAAACACTCAAAAAAACCCTTTGCATGATTAAAGGGCTCTTTGCATAGTGAAATGGTTCTTCAGACTGATGGAGAATGTGCATGAATGTGTTATAGATCTATCTATTATTACAAACTTAACCCTGTTACTTTCAAAAAGATTTTATATAAAACCATATAATACACAACTCTTCAATCTGAAGAACGCTTTCATGATGCAGTGAACAATTTTATCATGCAAATGGTTTCTTGAGTGTTCATGGTTCTATATAGAACCGTTTTTTTTTACTAAAGAAAACTTGAAGGACCATCTTTTTTTAAGAGCGTACACTCAGTCAAACAGATATGTATCATAAACTGGCATGACATAATAATACATATAATTTGATAATAATTTTATGTAATACGTATTCTTTCAGAGGTCTGC